ACTAAGCTGAAATTTAATAATGTTTATAGATCCACGACACTAAGTAACTCTCAATACCCTGAAGAAGTTCAGATATGACTAGTAGAAGAAACATTGGGATTAGTTAGATTTTAATCACTGCGATTATTTCATATATAATCTTAAAATTCATAAAATAATTTCAGAAGTTATCCCAGTGTGAATATTCCTTTCGCTGTAAGAAAAAATTGAATTATTCTTTTTTTTCTGTAAAAAGAAAACTTGATTTTTCTTCATTTCGCTTCTTCACTATTGTTGCTTTTTTTCTCACTTTCATTGTACCATTTAGATCAACTGAATGTTACAAATGAACAAGACAATACACCACACATGACAAAAAGTAATATTGTTCAATTATTAAATACAACACCATTGACTGTGAATACTAATGTTGAATTAAATACACGTAATTCTATAGCAACTAGTACACTTAATATTAATACTACTACTAATAATAATATCACTAGTACTACTAATAGTAGTAATATTAGTAGTACACATGAATCAGGTCAACAATTATCACAAACTATGTACAAACGTTACACTTGTCCATATTCAACACCTAATCGATATACATATGTAAATAAATCAAGTCAAATGGATATCATGTCAAAGTCTACAACAGTAACAAATACAATGCAACAACAATCACTAATCAATACAACATCCATTCCATGCCTTCCTGCATTAACTGTCCAACATACACATTCTACCTCATTAGGCTTAGGGACTAACAATAACAACAATAGTACTAGTCAGAATGAGTTGCATGATACACTGACAAAATGTTCTGTTATACCAGTGTCAAGTGTAAATAATCATTTTATTAGTACTACTACTACTACTACTGCTACAATTGACACAGCTTCTACTGTTGTAATTACTACTACTCCTACAACCATTACAACATCAACTATTAGTAGTACTGCTACTACAATAACACCTATAATAAACACTAATGTAACATCTTCTATCCTATATTGTCGTCATAATTCCAATGTATCCTATTCCACTATAACATCACCAATAGTTACAACAATTACAACACCAGATATAAATATTATGAATTCTAGTCCATTATCACCATCAACTATGCAACAACCGACAAGTCCATCAGCATTTTCAATGTTACATCGATTCAGTAATAATATGGGTTTATTTAATTCAATTAATAATGCCAATAATAATAATAATAATGATAAAACAGATTATGGTAATTTAGATTTTCGTTTAATATGGGAACCAAAAAATGGTCAACCAACTAGTATATGGCTTGTTGCATCAACATTACAAGAGAAAGCTGCATGGTGTTCAGATATAAGTCAAGTAAGTTAGTTGAAAAAAAAATAATCAAGTCTATATATTAAGATATTTTGTTTATTTTATCAAAAGATGATCTTTCAGCTCTGAAGCAGAATAGGTGAGAGGTGACCAATGAATTGCAGGGAGCACTGGACGGCCGTTTCGTCCTGGTATGGTACTCATCAGGAGTGCGCATCGACGACTCCTGCACGTTGCAGGATTCGAACCCGGGAACTTCGGTATTGTGCGCGAACGCCTAACCATCGGACCACTGGACCGGCATCCAACGGTGTTAATGTCTAACTCTGATTGATCTAGGGATTTTGCGCGACCTCACCCATTTGTCTTTGGTAGTTACTGCTTACACCTGACAGGGTTGAACTCTGTTGGTCATGTCTTCTCACTAGGACTCCTTTCGCGCACAATACCGAAGGTCCCCGGTTCTAATCCTGCGAGATGCAGGAGTAGTCGATGCGCACTGCTGATGAGTCCCATACCAGGACGAAACGGCCGCCCAGTGCTTCCAGGTTTCTAATGGTGGTCTAAAAATGATTGATTGATGATTTCAAATGTGTAAAAACACAAACCTCCAAACCTCCAATTGTAGGGAGTTTCGACAATGAATCACTAGTAACCTTGAGCACGACTAACGATTGGTTAAAATGTTTGGTTATCTGTAACGTTTTCAAGGTTTATTAAATGAGCTGTATTCATTGGTTTCAATAACTTTTCAATTGATTTATTGAGTGATGCCAAGTAGATCAAATCACACGGAACCATGTACTATAAATATATTGATTTGGCGCAGCTTAACATTTGGGATAAAGAACACAAATACGATGGAGTCTAGGGATAACGAAAATGAAATATAGAATAAAAATTGCATATTACTACTCAATATTTACTCACTTAGTGAAATGAAATAGGGTCAACAGAACCGACCATTTAAAACCTTACAGATAACCTCAAGGTCATGTTACAAAGTAAGTGAGCAAAAAGTGTCAACCAACGAATTCGGACTACATAGACTATAGAATGCATTCTCGTAATAAAACCCAAAGCTAATATGATTTCGGCTATAATCGATGTAATGCTTATGTTGTTTTCAATAGATCAGAAAACGGTTCTTCAAATAGTTTTTATAAGAGTACTATTCGTAACAATGTTAAATACTAAAAGTAGATTTCGATACTATATACAATGAATTCTTGTATTTGGTTTTAAATAAAACTCCAAGTTTAACAGTTACTGACAATACTATTCACTTAAGCAAACTTAAGTAAGCAGAGCTGTGTCCGAACCGACTTAGCTGTTCAAAGTAAGACACTACGATCAATCAGTTGACGTGCATATTATTACAACCAAACAAAAATACTATTTTGTCTTGTAATGATCTAGAAATCGTACATTTTTCATAAAATCAAACTCTACAGACATAGACATTTTATGATAAAGTTACAAATGCTCACTGAATATGAATTACTTGTATTGATTTAACCATATTATGAATAATGTTTATCATAAATCAACTACAAACTCTAATGAACTTACACAGTATAAATTTAGCTTAAAATACCGAAATGTAGTTAGCGATTGATAAAATCAAGCTAGGCATTATTCTCGACACAAGACACTAGAGTATGATTAGGTGGTACACTCGACTTAGTTGTTAATGTCAAAAGTGTCTAGTGTGAGGCAGCTACACAGAGAAAACAATGGATGATGGTCATGAATTGACTGAGGTTAGAAATTAACATATTTGGATGCCGGCCTAATGGTCAAGAGGTTAAGCATTTGTTTGCAAGACTGAAAGTCCTGGGTTCGATTTCCGCTTATTGAGGTCGTGGATTTGAATTGATGATGAGTTTTAAACTGAGACAAAACAGCCGTCCAAAGCTTCCACGTTTGTGTTAATGATCCATCATTGATCAGTTCATGATTTCAATAAAACTCAACAATCTTCATTACCCTATACTGACAATCACTTGTGAGTAATTCAAACGAGAGCTAGAAATAAATTAAAAGGAAACTTGTAAATATAGCACAGAGCAGTTAGTAAGTGAAATTAAAATCGGCTGAATCTCTCAATATAAAATAGTTCTTTATATTTACTTAAGCTGGATAAATCCATCTTCCATTTTTGACCATTCACAGGTCAATTCGGTCAAATATATTACTTTTAATTCTTCCAAGATGATTGATCTCAAATGTGTTTCCTCACAGGGAACAATGAAAAAACAGTTGTTGTTGTTATTAGCTGGTAAACAGTTTTGTTATTGTGGTTTAAAGAAGATCGGTTTTCATCATGTAGTGGAGTGAATCAGTAAGAAAAAATTGAAACTCGACAGTTATATCACTGTGACCGTGAGATTTAACTTTAGTGTAAACTTATAACTCGGCACGTGATTCATTTCAGGTTCACAAGGTCTAATCTTAAGTGAAATATTTTCTAACCCCTTGAGCATAGTTCATTAAGCTACATAATTAACTTCCGTTATTTTGCTAGCAAGTGCTCACAGTTACGAACATTGAGACATTTGCAATCCAATTACGAAAAGTTTATCGTCACTATCAGCCACCAAATACCTTAAGTTAGAAATGTGAACCACTAGTTTCTAACTTCATGTTCGATAGGTATCATGCTTCTAAAGTCATATCACTGAAATACACTTCTTGAATAATAATACCTTCGATCCCTAATATTCTCCATTAGGAGTAATTCTGCTACTATCTCCACTTCTATTGGATTCGGACTGACAGTGGCGTCTCAGTGCTAATGTGGTATGGCAACCTGAACTGACGTACGCACGTACAAAATCCTACCATCTAATTGACTGACTGACTGATTATTATATGATCTGAACGACTTTGTTTTAAATTCAATGAACTTACTGATTCCAGGTAAATCATATACCAACTCAAAGCTAAATAACAGGGAGAAATACAAATTTGGGCAAGCGTAAATACATTTTTATCTGGTTCACTTTAGCATATGTATATATATTAACTCTTTGCATAATTATGTCTGTGTTTGTAATATCTCTAATGCTTACAATGAGTTTTGTTTTTCTATTTTCCACAGCTCATTGGAAACTACTGACTATAAATATTGTTATTGTTTTCATGTTGTTTTTTTTGACTGATTGTTTCCTTGTCAACATGATTTATTTTTTATTTATATTCATATAAAATTTTGGTGAACTATACATTCGAATCTGTATACAATACTAGTACCAGTACTACTACTACTACTACTACTACTACTACTACTAATAATAATAATAATAATATTAATTACAAAAACTAGACTAAACAACTTTAATTCCTACTAGTTAGTTTTATTTTCAGATTATAAAAATAATGATTTTTAGATTTAATTTTGGAAAGTAAAAACTTTAAAACATTATAAATAGTTATAAAACAGGGAAATTTTTCTGAAACAAAATGAGTACACTGATTATTGATTTGATGAGTATGATAAACGTTTGTTGATATCAAGAATTGATCTAAGTTAGACAAGAACTGGAAGCACTTGATGACTGACTGTTTCGTTGTAGTATGTGACCTGTCAACATTATGCATTCACAGTCCCAGCCCATGAGATTGAGCACATGACCTATGATCTGGCTGTCGAACGCTTTAATTTTGTACTGTTAAGCTGAGACCCAGTGATTTGTGAGTCCAGTTTAAATCAACCAGCCATATTCTATAATCATCTTCCACTGGTCGAGGTGAACATTTCGCACAAGAAATTTGCGAATTTCTGCTTGAGACAATTCACTGATGAGTACATCATAATTATCAGTCAGGGGTTTGTGAAGATTGTTGAACAAGAACATTGATGCTAGCTAGTATCAATGTGTACTCTATTTGGTTTCTGCTCATACAGTCCATGCTGCTGCTCGCTAGAATGCTTAGATCTTGCATTTATTAAAAAGAACTCTTCAATTTATCCATTATTCGTTATGATAATAAGCTGTCTCAAATTAAAACGCAAATAAAGTAATGAGTTTCTATAATTTGAAATGTGAATATACACAGAATACATAGATTAAAGTACACAGCTTTCTGATGAATACCAAATAGAACTTAAAGTTCACCTTAGATTGTATCATTGACAACAGTCCATATATACTTTAATACTTATTACAAAAATGGGTACACCATGTCAATTCCCTCAAAAAATATATATAAACTATCTCTTTTAATCTGAAATTTCTCTCTATATATATATTCATAATTTAAATAAAATATAAACTTAATAACTTATGTATTTTTCGAAACCATGAATCGATCAATTTTAGACCACCATTAGAAACCTGGAAGTACTGGACGGCCGTTTCGTCCTGGTATGGGACTCCTCAGCAATGCGCATCCAAGACCCCCGCACCCCGCAGGATTCGAACCCAGGACCTTCGGTATTGTGCGCGAACACCTAACCATCGGATCACTGAGCCGGTTTCTAACGGTGTTAATGTCTAACTTGATCAATTCACGGAGTTGCGTAACCTCATATATCCAGTGCTTCCAGGTTTCTAATGGTGGTCTAACATTGATCGATTCATGGTTTCAAAAAATCTTCACAACCCTGTAATGCTAACTTATATGTGTTTGTGTGAGAATCGGACAAACAGAATACAGCTTGAGTTTATTCTATATTGTACAAAGATTATTGAACATGTTTGTTTAAATTTATTCACAGAATCATTCACATAAATTCAATGTATGAACCGATAGAAATTCTCTGTATATAACTTTGTGGTCAGTTTTAAAAACCACAGTCTCAATGTTTTGTTGCTCCAATTCTTATTGCAACTACCTTATTTTTAATCTCATTTCCTATTTAGTTAGTTATATCTATATGGTTGGGCAATCAATGTGTGAGCTAAACTCTACATTGGTGATGATGATGATTGACTGACTGTGCTGTTAAGTTATTATTCTGATTAAAAATACAGTTGTAATCAGTTTGATTTATCCCTTGTAAAAGTATTATATTTAACTGGCAATTAAGTATGGATAGAAAACGATACAACTGACAAACTATTTAAGTTATGATTTCCTTGTTAATATTAATTGCTACTATAAATTCACTGCGTAAAGAATGCATGTAATTGTATTCAGTGAAGTATTGTCTAGTCCATACCCAACCCTCCTCCTTGATCCGGGTTTAAGACCGGCAATAGCACCACAGGGGCTCAAGGTGAAGTTGTAAGTAATTGTCTTACTCCATACTCTGATTCTGTAAATTTGATAATTAATTGTCAATCTGGTGCACTATGAGTCCAATCTGTGCATAACTTATCGATCAAGTATCCAATCTCATTAAGTAATCAAAATTTCACTTATCAGTAGAATTGTTCTAATAAAGTAGTATATCGTGGAAAACAAAAAAGTTTCTATATTATTATTATTATTTTATTACAGATGGATGATAGCTAACAAAATGAAAATGCATTTTAATAATTCTATATTAATTGTATATTTTATTTGCTTGCTTTGTTCAAATCATCAACAGGAATTAATTTTATGAAATTTTTAAAGTAGAAATTGGTGTAGATTCGCGTTTAAATAAATGAATTTCATTGCTTTTAATGAGATCATCATCAAGCTTTACTCTAATAAACATGAATGTTTACGTAACGACACATCTTCATGTAAATATTCATGAATATTATCGAGTATAAAGCATGATGACGATCTAATTGAAAACAGCAATATTGTTCACTTATTATCTGTGTTATTCTAATTATTCACAATAGGAATCTTTAATCGAATAATTATCATTTAAAATTGTTCATAGTCAGGTAGTTAATATGACTAGCTCTATTCTATGCAAATATCAACATGTCAGATTTAGGATTACATTGTAGTGAATAGATACAATTGTACAATACAATTTTCAACTAAGCTACTCAAATAACTTTTGATCTATAATTCACATGACTGATAAAACCAAAAAAAGCAAGTCAGTGGTCTATATCTTATCTCAATCAAAAAAAACTTAACAATCTTCACGACAACCCCGTAATACAAATTACCTGTGTTCACTAGTGACTAGCTTGGTGAGGAATCTCCTCCGAGTTCTAGTGAGAAGACGTGACCAGTGAAGTCCAACCTGTTCAGGTGTAGACAGTAACTATCGAAGACTGTGTATGAGATTGCGCAACCCAGTGAATTGATCAAGTTAGACATTAACAACGTTAGATACCGGCTCAGTGATCCGATGGTTAGTCGTCCGCCTACAATAACGAAGGTCCTGTGTTCGAATCCTGCGGGGTGCAGGAGTCGTGGATGCGCATTGCTGAGGAGTCCCATACCAGGACGAAACGGCCGTCCAGTACTTCCAGGTTTCTAATGGTGGTCTAAAATTGATCGATTCATGGTTTCAAAAAAACTTAACAATCTTCACAACAACCCCGTAATACAAATCATACAATAAGAAAAAGTCAGATATTTATACATTTCTAGGGTATCTTTAAAAATGAGTTAGTTATATGACACTTGATTGCATGTTACATGTGAAGTTTTATAAAATTCGAGATGATGATCATTTAATTTAATTTTTTTTGAAAAGAGTTTTTTTTATCTGATTCAATATGAACTTCTGTGTGGTGAAAAAAAATGTATTTCTCAATATAAATTATAAATTTTTGAAAATAATTTTCATCCTTAACTTATTATACAAATCATTTAGAAGCTATTGAAATTCATTGATGGTTTTTAAAGTGATTTTGTTCTAGTTTGATTCATTTGATTTTATCCTCATCAAGTTATCTTTAATTTTATTGAATATTGAACACAAAAAAATGTTGTTTTTATATTTTGACGTTGATTTAATTGATTTTAGGATGATCTTTAATCATGGCTAATCAATATCGATAATAAGAGAACTTATATATATATATACACACAGACAGACACAGACACAATACTTTATTAATAATCTTCTAATGATGGGAATCTGTAAAGAGAACAAGAATTCAGAAAAAGCCTTATATTGATTAAAGATAAAATTATAATAGAACAATTCTTTTCATATGGCTGGCATCAAACACACATGACCTTGAAATACGCGAAAATCAGAAAGCTAAAAAGTGGTAATTACCGAAGTGAAAAATGTGTAGATCAAGTGGAGGAGATGCACTTTCACAAAAATTTTACAACAAAAAGTAAACATTGATTAACAAACATGTCAAGACAATGAGATATCTTCCTAGCAGTTGTCTACATTGCTATAAATATCTTAAAAAAAGTTATCTGTACACACAGAATTCCCTTTCATAGGTTACTTTGTCCATAGAGAATATTGTGAGATAGGACTGTTTGATTTTTATCGGAATTTTAGTTATTTCATGTCCTATTTTTCTCTTTTAAGAAATTATCTTAACTATTTCATCTTTCTTGTGTTGTTTCTTTAGTGTATTGAACAATTGCATTATGGTGATATTTTGAATTCAGCTCAATCGGATGTTTCTTCTGTAGCAATGCCTCAATCTGTTCGGTATGTTTGCTGAGCATTGGTTTGATTATCTTTTATGTTAATATTGTTACAGATTTGTATTTCTTAGTTTAGCTTAGAATGAACTCATAGTAATAATTCAACTGATGACTGTCAGATGGTTTTGAAATTGTCGGTCAACTGGAATTCAGGGTATATGAATGAATGAAGTATCCAGAAAGTATTTAAATTCAAAGTAAAAGTTAGGGTTCAGATTTGTATTTATGTTTCTATTGGGGACATTAGAACCTCAGAACTCACTTGGAAAAGGTCCTAATTTTGTAATTTATTTCTGAACTTTTGAATTTTTATATTTTCGCGCCAAGAGACGCTTCATTGACCGATAGCTTACATTTTCCACTCGGAAATCCTTGACTGTCATTGGTTGACGGATTTTTTTAGTACGTTATTTTGTGGCTCTTTCAAGAGCGTTTCAACCATTGTATGAATAAGCTTGATTTGTGTGCTTAGCAACCTCATATGTTCTTGGTGCTTGTAGAATAAATTCTCAACTCCTTATCAAGACTTCTTGCTCTAGTTAGCAGGGCCTGGGAAAACTGGATTTGAATAGCCTATCATGTCACTGTGTCATTGCTCTTCGCTCCGTTTACCGAGTAAGGTGAACTCGTAATAGCATTCGAGCATATCAATTGGCTACCATAACTGGTTCAGAGTTTAAACTAGGAACAGTATTTACGGTTAGTAATGTAGAGTCAGTATGTTGACTACGAACGCATGGGTGACGAATAGATCAATGAACTATTTAAGCTCATTTGGATGAGCGCATATACAATTTGTTCTTTGATTTTCAATATAGATAGACAATTTAAGCTAAAACTTAATAGCTTTATAAATAATGGTATTCTATCGTTTATTTCTTCTGTATTTATTAATTATAGCCATTATAGTAATAGAATACTGATAAGTTTTAATCAGCTTTTAATAAAATATAAATTATCATGTGAACTTTATTGTTGTGTTTTCATTTTTCAATTCAAGTATAATATCTAGGAGATAAGAGTATAATTTTCTATGAGGATTTCATTTCAATCACTCGAAGCCATCTATAAGGTTTTTATGAATACATCACTGTAATCTAGTTTACTGACTGAAAAGAGCAAATAAACAGAAATTTATGGATCGAAATGAAATCCTTAGTGCAAATTATACTGTTACATTCAGTACTGATAGATATTTAGTGAACGAAAAGTCACTTGAAAATACTTGATACTGCAAACATATTGAACACAGGAGAATGGAAGCACAACCGATTTATGGATACTTATATCAAATGATAGGTTACAGTATTTTAGACTTCGTAGAAAATTTCGTTAGATTCTATCTTGCGTCAATATGGTATACCCTTATTCAATCTATGCACACACTGTACACAATGTAGATGGCGTAGTTCACACATTTTTTTTACAGTAATTAATCTTTTTCTACACAACTTACTATCATACCCCTACAAATCATCCAATTCAAAATGATAAGAATGGTAATTAAGTAATGGACTGAAACGATATCTTGTTGTTAAATTTGAATTTTATCGGTCTGTTATACGTCGTTTATCATGAATGTTTTGAATCGAAATGCTTATTATGCGGTAGTTCATTGTTATGTTAGTATGATCGGTCTGTAAAGACAAGAATGCAGTTGTATAACCTCTCTGTAGTTTGATTATCAATTAATCCTCCCGTACAGCCTGCATATACAACTGCAGGGACAAACCAAGTCTATATAGAAAACGAATGTGTGATCAGATCACAGATTATTTACAAAATATGTACCCTTATTCTATAATTGTCCATTTGCATTTACTTTGGATTCTGTAATTCAAGATCATCACAGTCTGACATTTCTCACTTCTCTTCTAGTCTCTAAAGTATTCCAAACACTCTATTGTTGTGACCTCTTGAAACTCTTGTGTTTGGTTGTCGACCGTAGCAATATCTAGTCAACACTCCACTTCACACTACTTATAAGCAATTTTGTGAGTAGCGTAACGATGATCTGTTTGCCGAATGACTTGCCGGTCAGTGAGCAACAATCAAAACGTTTAACGATTGTTATTCTTCGAACTTCTTCTTACCCTGTGGCCAGTCAGAAGAGGAAGTTAGAAAGCAGATCAATTTTATGTTACTCGATTCAATCAAGAGTCATAAATCTGACAAAAATATGCACGCAATATCTGACCACACAATAACATTATTAAAAAATTACAATGGGTATAGAAATTGGTCAGAAGTAATACAAGATTAGATCAGTAGGGTAGTAATCAGGTAATGGTAAATTTCGAACAGTCAGACATGTAACAACGATTCATTGCTCAAATAAAAGATTAAGAATGATTGGATACAATCAAGTAGGCAAGGCTTGAGTTAGGAATAGGGTACTAGGCAAGGATAGCAAATCAATCGATGCAGTAGTGGATCTTCATCAGTTGAGGTGGTTGAGACATGTGTTACTGGTGCCCAGCCACAGCCTACCTTGCCGAGTCATATTGTCTAGTGTAGAAGTAGGCTGAAAGAAAGCTAGGGGCGGCCAAACCAGAATACTGCACAAATCCATGAAATCACTGACAGCTGAACTGAGCTATTTAGTTGATGTAGACTACCAGGTTAGGATTCGTTACACAAGAGTAATCGATGGTTAGAGACTTCGGAAAACATGGCTCAAAATTGTCTACATCCATTCTTTGTCTTCTCCAAATATTAAGCTTCTAAATTCTTTATAACATTTTTTTCCTTTGCTGTTTAAATTTATTTCACTGGATCATACTTCTTGAATCATATCTTTAGTTCCCAATCTTTTGCATTACCTCTATTACTAGGAGATTTGAGCTTACAATTTCATCCATATGTGCTAATGTGGCGGGGCAACTTTAACCTATATACGCACATGTACCAAGTTCTACGGTGTAATTGACTGACATGAGCAAATTAAAATAAAACCATAGGTTGTTTGATTTAACGACAAAAAAAACAGTAAGATAATTCTGATTACATCGTGATATAAATAAAAACTTACAATAGATGACTTCATATCAATATTGACTAGAGATGTAAAATGTTCATTTTTGATTTGTTGAAGATTGAACAGATAAATAAAAACGATAACTATCTTAGTTTAATGTGATTAGTAGAGTATGTTACTAGTTAATGGATATAATCGTTAAACACGTGGTTTACAAGGTCACTGGTTGTTTCTAACCAAACCTTATCATATTAACTGTTCTATTCTGAGGAGTCAAACTTATCCGGTATGTTCAAACATTTCTAATTGTTAAACATTGAGTCGGCTACAACTAGCAAACTATACATTGATGAATACACTAACAATGAATATCATATGGGCTATTATCATGATTGGCGGTTAAAAAGTCTGTAATACAGATGATAAAATCTACAGAAAAGGATAGGCAAGTTTATGAATGATCTAGAAATATCGATAGAAAGTGTATAATTAAAGAAAGTAGTAAGAATAAGTTTAGTTTAATTTTTTAGGTTACATCCATTACAAATCAAATCCGAAATGAAGAGTTAATTTGAACTATGAAACATTCAGTAGCTGTCTCATTCCAACATCGGACTTCCGAATGGTCTCCATCATTGATCCAATCAGAGCTGAAACCCAGGACTTTTAGGTCTAGATGCAAGGATTTGACCACTTGAACGCCGAATTATTATCCTTTATTAAACATTGACAACTTTAATTCATCCACCTAACCACATCTATGGTCACCGTTTCACTTTGGACTTGTATGAACCAGACCGATGACAACTTTTGTTTGATCTTCAAGAAATAATCTGAACATAAGTTGTCAAAGTCCTTCTCACAAGTGAAATAAATCTATAACAATATGACTGTTAGATATTAAAGGAATAAGAACATTTCTCATCATAATCTATATAAAGTGAATACATTAAAAAAAGATGTAATTTTTCCAAAATTCAAATTTTGTTTTCATGAAGTGCTACCGGAAACTGTTTACATTTCCTTATAAAAGTAATCCACTTTCTTCTTATTCTTATTGTTATTAAATATGTTTAGATCAGATCCAAAATTGTTCAAAGATGATGTGGATATTAAATTCAGTCATACATTGAATTCATGCAAAGTACCACAGGTGAGTAAAATTATAGTTTCCTATTTGTCTAGGTAGAACGAATGACTGAACAATTAGTTATAGGGAATCATTCATATTGATTTCATGTTATGTTTAGTAGAATTGATGTATTATTTCAGAGTTTATTCTTATTTTAATATTAAAAAAAATAAATGTTTCAGTACGTTCTACTTAATACTATTCAATAGTTGAGATTATGTTTCAACATTTTCTTAAAGGTTGTGAACGATTTTAGGTTATAAGTACTTGATTGTTATAATATACTAATAATCTCAACTGTTGATAGTTGTGACTCATGTCTGTTCGTTTATTTCTGGATAGAAACTCCTGAACTCATAAATGCCTTGAAACAAGATTGAATCTATGTGTTATAGTTTGAGACTGTAGACTAATTTGATCTTCCAAGTCATCGATCAAAAACTTAATTTTAATTTTGCCTATTTTTCGTCCATTATTTCCTCGATAGCCTACTGTCCGTCTCAAACTTGACGAAGTACACGCTCAACCAGCATCATTAACCTTGATTTGATAGCTAACTCGTCACTGTTCCATTATTTGCTAGACTCTCTATACACCTAGCCCCAAATTAACAACTAGCCACTATCATATTTACATTTCACACAAACGCTGTCTATATACAAACATTCTGGACCACAATATACCATACCATTAAGAAAACACTATGTATATATTAATAAGTGAAAAGTGGCTGTGAATATTAGACAGAGACTATAAGTAATAGACTAACAATTAATTAATAATAATAGGTTGTACAACACAAGTTAATGGATAAACCGAAAGCTTCTGATGATAAACAGAATATACATACATAGTATCCTAGTTACTTAGTAATCATAGAATACAGTCGGTAATAGCATAAATCAAAAGACCCATTTTGAGACTTTATACTGTTTGTTGTGTTATATTATAAGGATTTGAATGTTACGCTACGAGTACATCGGCCTTAAAATGCTGATTTGGGCTTCATTTGTTAATATTACCAACTTCAGTCGATTTTCAGGAATACAAAAACTCCAGTGTTTAACTATTTAACCGGTTCACTAAATTGTCAAGTCCATGAATAATGAGTTCAAACTTATACCTACGAGACTGAGCACTTTCATCAGACCAAAATGCTTACAAATCACGTTGATGCCTATTAGCTTATTCAAAGAGAAATTATAACTTTTTATTTACTGTTATAAACTACAACTCAAATATAAAGAGGAAATCATAATTTGTAGATTATTAGGTCATTTGTGATGAAAATTGAGTAACAGAGACAGCTTATGGAAGCTGTAAGATCAAGAAATAGGTTACGAATAGATGGAAAGGTTGTAATCAGGGTTATATGAACAAACAAATACTGTCAACAAACTAATCATATAAACATAGATTAAGAATATAGAAATATAATAGTTCACTGTAAAATAGTCATTAATGTTCTAACTTTTCCATATTATTCTTCTGTGTTTTGAGATGGAGAAAATTTATAGCTCAGGTAGAGTTTCGTTCTCTGAACTGGATGTTTTAGTTCTGGAACTTTCATTTTTCTTCTGAACAACATCATCAGCAGAAACTTTAAGTAGAAGTGAAGTATGATTTTTCTGATTGATTCATAAATTGGATCAATGTCGATGTGTGTGTTGAATGCTGATTAACCTGAGTGTCGAGCTTCTAGAAATTCTCTAGTGTTCTTTCTGCTCCCCTATCCAGTATTTGAAGATTGTTCCAATCTAATGTGTATCCATAATTGTCGGTGTGTATTGATATATGATATGTACAAAATAAACTGCTCAGACTGTGAAAAACACTACATAGGACAAAGTGGACGTCCTCTTCAGCTTCGTCTACGTGAACATCAGTTAGCAGTCAAACACCATGACATTTCCTGCTTGATACACATGGAAACACGCGAACAACTGTGGACATACATTCGATTGGAACAATGTGGAGATGCAGGATAGGGGAAGCACAAAGAACATTAGAGAATTTTTAGGAGATTGCCACTCAAGTCAATCAGCAATCAACAAACACTTCGACATTGATCCGATTTATCAACTAATCAGAAAAATCATAGACAAATATAGGATCAAGAAACAGATCAAAGGGGGATACAATCAAAACAAAGGTGCAAACTACAACAGGTTTGAGGTCAGTTACAAGCAATGAAGATGGAGGTTAGCAGAACAAGCTACAGGTCAAATGTGGAGAGATTCGAATGCTTCACTTCTATCTGAAGTTTGTGCTGATGGTGTTGTTCAGAAGACCGATGAAAGCTCCACAACTAAAACATTCAACTCAGAAAACGAAACTCTATCTCACTCTTCCCTATCCTATTTACCTAAAACTTTTCGTCTTAGACACATAAAATAACATATTTATGATATAAAATTCCGTAAATTTTGAATGATAGACAATAGTATATTCATTATTCAGTAAATTAGATCAGTAGTAATAGTTTGTTTAAAGAGTTTCTGTAAATTGTTGAATTCTGTGTTTAATGCAATAAACCGACCTCAGTTGAAATATTATTAAGAACCAAAGAGAATTGGATTGGTGTTTTTGTTCGTGTCTGTGCACATTCATGATCTCACTCAAGAATTTCAAGTCTTTTGGTTAAAGCTGAAACGTTAGAAAGTTGAGTTGGCACCTAATGGTATACATCTATACCTTCAGTACATCTAGGATATTGTCTAACCATCTTTAAATTTAATTATCTCACACCTGATGTACTTGAACTCAGTTACACAGCTTCTCACTAGAACTGAGGATTCGATATCAGATAGCACTGTGAATACAAAACTTGAAGGAGTTGCATACTAAGATGAAACAGCTGTCTAATTCTTCCTTGTTTTCAATAGTTTTTCCAATTTATGTTAATTCATGGTATAAACTAGACAACTTTGTATTATTGATGACAACTGGTTGTTTTATATATTTTTACTGTTTTTGTTTTGTTTTCTTTAATAATATCAGATTCGATATGCAACAGTTAGTCGTTTACTGGATCGATTAACTGATGCCAGATTCTTATCAATTGATTTTTTAAATACTTTTCTACTTACTTATCGTGTATTTACCACTGGTCTATCAGTCATCTGGGCATTAAATCAAGTTTTAACAAATCCAGATATTGAAAATTGTGGGAATACTGCGAATTCTAATCAAAATCAATCATTTACATAGTGAGCTATGATTACTGTTTTTTTTAAACATTTTTGTTAAGAAATGTTATTCTGGAACAACTTGGGCGTAAGTTTGAATTACAAAGCAGTTGGAAAGTTTCTACAGTATTCAAAAGAATCTACATGGACTATACAGGCGGGAAATTTAATAAAAAGCAATTTAACGATTTCTCTTAACTTGACTGAATAAAAGAGAATTTGGATACTCAAATAAAAAGCCTGATATTCGAGGAAGTCGAATGTGAATGAGAACAACTCCATTTATGTAATAACAACTATATGACCTGCAGACAGTTGATAAGGATTATAAAAGATTTTCGAATAGTTAGAGGTAGACTATGAACACCGTTAGATGCTGGTTCAGTGGTGAACTCGAGTGAGGGCCTGGGATACAATCCCAGGACACATGGTCATGAATATGCATTGTTGATAATTCGGATCTTAGATCAAAGTGATTGTTGAATCATTCCAGGTTTTCAGTGATGGTCTAGTTTTCATCATTTCATGATTTAAACTATGAAATTGCCTATTTCATAAATTTATAATATGGGTGTCAGTTTTATCAGACGAATTGCTTTTTAAAATATTCATCTTGATTTATTCATAAATGAACGATATCATAGATTAATGTAAACCTGCTGGCAGTTATTAGGCGAATCTTATTAGATAAGAAGGTGAAGTAAAAGAATGTCATATGTGTATAACTTTAATTGGACGGAACTTTAGAAGACCAATTCATAAATAGTGTCTTCAATTGATTTGTCTTATTTTTCTGGATTTCTAATATATTTACATCATCAGTGTTTTTATAGACGACTCCTTTGAAGCATTAGTTAGTACCATCAGGTCAATAACACAGTGATTAATGAAACCATGAATCAATCAATGTTAGACCACCATTAGAAACCTGGAAGCACAGGACGGCCGTTTCGTCCTGGTATGGGACTCATCAGCGCACTGGTGATGATCTATTCATGGTTTCAATAATGTAACTTAATAATCTTCACAACAACCCCGCAATACAGTGATTAATGTTAGGGTACTAGATAAGGATGGCTAGTACATCTTCATTGACTGAAGTGATTGACAAATAGATTACGTAAGCTCAGTCATCAACTATTTCAACGTGTGATATTTACTAGTTATAAAAGTAGGTCGATTAAAATATTGAAGACTGAGGTCAAAACGTAATAACAGTTGCATTAAGTTATCGATTATTGAAGTGAATGTTGTTATGATAAGTGCAAACTATGCAACTAATGCTCCTGTGATTATCTGAACCGTTTGTTAAAGATATTAGCACAGAATTGGTCTGAATGGCATAAATACACTGTTTATGTTTTTTCAAATAACATGATTCAGCATTAATTTCCTTTTCTTGTCATTAATATGGATTGGTGGCTGCGTTAGATTCGAAGTAGGGCTCACTACTTTATTGGCCCATCATCTGACTCTGATATTTACCAACAATTAAATATACTATGAAATGAATTCCTCTTTCGATGACATAGTTCTGTTTAGTGAAATTGTTGACAAAATGGGGATTCTTCTGACCACCTAAAGCTAAAATTTAAGCATGTTCGGGGTGAGATTCCCCAAAATTTCGCTTCACGATTGGCTAGCATCGTCAACTAAACAAGTGATAGGGTGTGAAGTAGTTGGGCGTGTCGACTGCATCACATATCTCGGGAGTCTCAACAGTGCTAACGGCCTGGAATCTGATGAAATCTCAGCGCAGATACAGAATGCCCGATTGGATTTTGCCAACCAGCATCATTTATGGCATAGTCGAGATATCCGTCTGCTAACCGAAGGACGAGTGTACTGCTCAGCAGTTCAGTCTGTTCTACTATATGGTTGTGAAACATGTCCAGTCAGAGTAGAGGATATCTGTAAGTCATCGTTATTCGATCATCGGTATCTTCGAAGCATTGCTCTTATATCGTGGGACAATCGAGTAAGTAATGCTATCGTTAGGAAACGAGTTCTAGGTAAAGGTGGCAAATCAGTTAGTGGAGTAGTGAGTCCTTATCAATTGAGGTGGTTAGGACCCGTGTTACGTATGCCTAACCAACGACCGCCTCGACGAGCAATGTTTTGTGGTGTAGTAGGTTGAACGAAAGCTAAGGGCGGCCAGACCAAAACATGGCACAAATGCATGAATTGACTGACAAATGGACTGAGTCATGTTGGTACGTGTAGAATACCTGGTTGGGGTCTGCGATATAAGAGTAACCGATGGTTAGGGACCTAGAATGATATGACTCAAAATCGTTTGCAATAGAGCAGATGCATGCATTCTTTGTCTTCTCTGAAATTCCAATCTTCTGAACTCCTCATGACCGTTTTTATTCGCTCTTCCCTTTTTTAATATTTAAATTGGTTTTTCTGGTATATACTTCTCGAATGATATCTTCGATCACTAATCTTTTTGATTATCGCTAATACTTCTACTCCCTCTTCTACTATGGGATCTAAATTGAAAATTCTATCTCTCTGTGGTAATGTTGCATGGCAACTTGAACTGATGTACGTACGTACAAAGTTCTACGTTGTATCTGACTGACTAAAATCTCTCCTCCAGTTTCTGTATGTCATACTTAGGCAAACCCCGTTTGTACGACGGCGATAATAAGAAGCCAACTATGGATTTGGTTGAATGAATTTATTTCATGCAGTCGTTCTTGCAGACAAACATCAGAACGAAAAGCTTACAAGCAAAGCGAAGCTGTATTCATTCTCTGGTAAATTTCTTGATTATTGAAATCATGAATCAATGAATGTTAAAACACTATTAAAAACCTTGACGCATTGGACAGCCTTTTCGTCCTTGTATGGGACTCATTAACAGTATGCATCCATGACTACCACTTCCCGCAGGCTTCGAACCCAGGACTTCCGGTTTTGCTTACAAATGCTTAACCTCTAGACAATGAGCTAACACCAAACGGTGTTAATGTCAAACTGTGGTCAGCCTAAGGTTTTGTGCAAACTCATCTATTATCTTCGGTAGTTACTGCCTACCATCGACACGGTTCGACTCCTGCGAGTAGCAGTGTAGTAACACCCACTTAGAATCTAACGCGACCCACATAATTAACTAGATTTTCTAAGTTTGAAAATTCAATACTTATAAGTTTCTTCATAGAATTTTGCGATATTTTGATGAATATAGACTAAATAATTTGCTTTTCAATGTATTCCTATGTATCTTTGTTCATTGTACAATATATTTGTTAAATAACAGTGTAATTTATTATTTACCTTTTTGTTCGTTTGTTTGTTTGATTTTTTGCGCTATTTTTAAAGCTCACATTTTGAAAATCCTGAACAACATGATCAATTATATATGGCTAGACCATCAGAAGTATCACTTACTATCAATCGTTTACCTGTTTTAGAAGAAACAACACATAGTATCAATGATGAGATTTCATCTAGTCCAAATTCTATTTCTCAAACAGAGGATCAATTTAAAACAATCAATAATCATGCCATGATAAATGATATTTCCAATGAATTTATGACAACTTTATCTATCCAACAACAAGATTCATTAATCAATTCGGAAATTCCAATGAATTTATCTAAATCAACAACCAGTAATTGTACAACTAATGATCACGACAATATATCATCCAATAAATTGCATAGAAAATTCATACCACGTCGATTATCTACATCCGAAACAAAATGCTCTGGTGTCACATTGAATCATGATCAGAATATATCATGTGGAATAATGAGTCAATCAGTTATAAATGATCATCATAGTCTATCATCATCAACATCATCACCATTCTCATTGGATAAACAATCTAACAAACATTTAATGAATAAACATGTTCAATCATCTACAATTGTGACAACTTCATTACAGTCAACCACAACAACAACAACAACTACTACTACAAGTGTGTTGATTCCACGTTCACCTGTCTATAGTAAATTAATTGATTTACGTGATGATCCATTGTTGGAGTTACCAATTCTGCCAGACTTGAAAACAGTGAGTGATCTCAGTTATTGTTAGTTTTAGGATTTATGATTATTATTGCTATTATTATTATTATTATTATCAGGATTTTAACTATATGGGTCAGTACGTTCTGGAGTAACAATGTTCAAACAATTAGGATAGGTTTCTTTTCTCTGTAGTTCTGTTGTTCGCCAAAGTCTCTAGTTTGAGCATTAGGAAGCAGGTAAGGATAGCTGAGATTTTATTCAACTATAAATGTATTTCAGATATTTTTTCAAACCAACTGATCAAATAAAAACTGAAATGACTTTAATTTGTTAAAAATTAAAAAATGAGAAAAGTAATGCCTAAGCACTTTGAAAGTAAGTAAGATTTGTGATTTATGGATTCATTTTATAACAAGTTGATTTTTTAAGGATTTTTAGGGTTCGGTAGCAAACAGAATAAATACCATTGATGACCATTGATGATCAGGTTATTTAAAGCGAATGGATCAGGAAATTCTGGATCGTTTGACGCTCGAAGTCCCTGTGTTCGATCTTGCGCAGAGTAATAGCGGCTCACTAATGGAAAACACGTGACTTGAACGAAATCATTATTCAGTTCTTCCTGATTTTTACTTAGATTTTTTCGATTGTAGCCCTTTTCACTATTAAAATCTAATTGATTTAGAATATTTATATTCTTACAAACAAACATTTTAATACGTTTTTCTTTACCGCATTTTTCAAATATCTACTTGATTAGAAGGATAAAAAACAAACTCATACTGAATTCAAACAAAATTCGGCCAAATCCATTTCACCTACCTTACTTGCTTATTCTTCCAATGAACAGAATGAATCAGCAAAATCGATGAATGAACATACACGTTTAGCTCCATTAGCATCATGTGAAGTAATACCGGATGAATCGGAGACAACAAGTTTAAAACAAGACTCATTGAATAACAGTCAAATATCTGTATCGACCAGCAACAATGTTACTGATAATAATAATAATAATAATAATAACAGTAAAGAATATCAATCAAATCCCGGTGAACCGAATTCTCTCAATTCTATGTTACATAGAATAACATGTCATCATTTAGACAACCAATTAGATAAATATAAACATTTGTCAATTCAAGGAGAACACTTTAAATCGGCGGATGTTTTAACAATAGGACAAGAAACAGAAATGGAACAACAACAGTATAAGCATAATTCATTAGCTAATATATCAAAATCAGATATTGCCATATCAATCTCAGATGAAAATCAGGTAAATTGTAGGATAGATTATTATTATTGTTGACTGTGTGTAAAGTTTTGTATATTTTTTGTACATTTTGTCATGATTTATAAGTTTTAGTAAAATAAGCGTTGTCATTAAAGCGTGGAGTATTTACAAGTGAACAGTCATTGAATTACTTACTTACGTCTGTTACCCCCAGCGGGGTATAGACAGCCAATCAGCATTTTCCAACAATAGTTTATCTGGGGCCTCTCTGCGCATTTCTATCCAACTGGTGTTCAACCTTCTCATATTTGTCTCCAATTCTCAGGGTAATGTGTTCCTTGGCCTTTATCTTTTCCTTTGGCCTTGAGGATTCCAATTGAGGACTTGTCTTTTGGCGCAGTTGGGTGCTTTTCGCAGTGTGTGTCCTATCCACTTCCAGCACTAATTCCTGGTTTCCTTCTCCACCGGAATTTGGTTCCTTCTCTCCCACAGTAGGTTGTTGCTGATAGTATCTGGCCAAAGAACCCAAAGTACTTCGCGTAGACAATTGTTAATAAACACTTGCGGCTTTGGTAGTTTTTCAAGTTTCCACTCCATACAGTAGAACTGTCTTGATGTTTGTATTAAAATTTCTGACTTTCGTGTTGGTTGATAGTTGTTTTGAGTCCCAGATGTTTTTCATTTGTAGAAATGCTGCCCATTACTTTGCGGATTCGTGCCTTCACATCTGCATCAGATCCACCTTGCTCATCATTGATGCTGCGCAGACATATAAAGCTTTATACATCCTCCAAGGCTTATCCACCAAGTGTGATTTGTTTGTTACATGTTGTATAATTACGGAGAATCTAGCTTTTCCCCAATGTGTATGTTGAGAACTACTATTGCTGAGGCTGCAGCTACACTGGTCATCTTCTCCCGATTTTGTTGCTGCTGAGTGTGGGATAGTACAGTTAGATCATCTGCGAAGTCCAGACCGTCCAGTGTAATATAAACATTTCAAATTTTGCCACTTTCCATTCATATCACCTACAAAATTGGTTACTGTTACGCTCGACTCTAGGTATGCTCAAACTATTACGAGTTCACCTTAGTTGAATAACGAGAACAAAACAATGAACAAGCGTCCAGACAGTCTACTGTGATCCCTTGACCAAATCGAATCAGTAAGAAGTCTTGGTATAGTGTAGAAAATGTATTCCACAAACACCCAGCCAGCACACAATGAATCCAAGCACTCAAATTGCGTTTATTTATACTCTATAGAGACGTCCTTGGGACAGTCACAAAAATAGCACACTAAAATGATACAGTCACCAATCGCAGCCAAGGATTTTCCTGGTGGGAAATGTGATCTCAAGGTCAACTGATCGGTCCATGAAATAAATCCAAAATAAAGATATTTATCAAGCGAGTTCTGGGGATCTAACATCCCCAACAGTTACTTTTCATGCTGAACTAACTAACTCCCAACTGCTTAGTTCATTCAATTTCTGTTTTCACATAAATATTTCGTGTTATTTTTTTTGTTTCATTTTTTTTCCCTTTAAAGCCAAGTGAACACTTTAAATATCCACCAACTTCAGAGATTAATGATAACGATGAGACAAAGAACAATATAACATCTTTAGATTTGCATTGGCCATTAAATAATCTCCTTCACAGCAATAATCATCACAATAATCAATGTTTAAAATTAGCAAAATCTTCATCATCACTTCATTATTCAAATGATAATAATAAATTGTTAGAGAGTTATTTAAATCAAACAGTTGGTTCATCATTACTAGCAACAGAATTCAATACTGAACGAATACAACAAACAAGACGAAGTTTTGATAATATCACTGAAGGTAAAGTCAAATTTATTGTGTTGATAATAAATTATTTTTTTAAAAAATAATTAAGTTCTCATTTGTGTAGGATGCAGTAAAAGGATTTGATTATGACCGATTCGGTCTCATGTGCTGTTACGGGTATAAGGGCGGTTGTCAACACCGAGGAAGGTTGTTTCTTGAGGGGCCTGAAAAGGAAGATTGATTAGCGTTGGTCTTAGAGACCTGGGAGCGTGACCGCAGAGCCCAGGGGACAACTGCTTGAGGCCAGTCACGCACGGCCACTTTATGAAACGGCTTTTGAGTATTAGCTCCGCTCCTGAAAGCCCTCAGTGGGCACCCTTATCGCCGGAGACGGAAATCCGTGAAGTAGGGTGAGGTGTGACATTTTTAGGGTCGAGCTTTTCTAACCCTTCCTTCCTTGTGAGAAGGCAGCATCGTTGCAGATGCTGGTTGTCCGAGGGAAACACCTTACTGCTGTCATACACCTCTACAGTCAGCAGTACGACTTCGCCCTCAGACTTGAACTGGTATAGTTACGTACGAAGTTCTGCGTTGTATCTTTCTGTCTGTCTGTCTGTCTGTCAGCAAAAGGATAAACAAATCCAGTGTAGAAAAATGAGCTAATGAATTTCTGAATAAAATTTAACAACATTTAAGTGAAACCTGTAGTAGAAAAATCTATGTAGAATGCTCGGATAGTTTATATCCTTGTAGACAAATTTAACGGATTCATGAAGTGCTTATCAAATATCGGTCCACATTATGAAACACTATTGTTTTCCTTTGCATGAACTACATCAGTTTAAGAAACCTACTACTGACTAACTAAGCACTGACTGAAAATACATCGAAGTGGATTGAATTGTTGTCCCTATACCAGACTGTAGTCTGTGTATCTTTTCATGTGTAGCCTACAGTCTTTGGACAATTCAATCAATCCATTCTTTCCGAGGAGTTATCATTATTATTGACCTTGTCAATGATTCACTCATATCTAGATCGTTTTCATTCGAACATGTGTGTGCAGTGCTTACTTCGCTATCTCACATGTCTGACTTATTTTTGTCTGACTTAGTCCATCATTTGAGTTGACTCACTTGCCTTCTCCACTCTGCTTCGATTCGATTGTAAGTTTTTCGTTCTCATGTCTGTCTGTATGAACGATTGTCTGAAACAAATTCATCTGAGAAATAGAATCTAACGCAGCCACCATAAGACTCTGGCCAACAGAGTTCATAAGAATAATTATTATTGACCTAAGTGAAATTATGATCAAAATCAATCAGTAAGGGGTATTGGTAATACAAATCAACAGCAGCTATAATCGCAATGGTCAGAGTATTATATCCCACTGATCCACAGAATATTACAAACACAAAGTTTGGACTATGACTACATAGAGTACTTGTTTGAAATATTATTTTTTGATAAACATTTTAAGTAGCATTAAATAACTTTGAGAAAGCGATCAAATTGTTTATACCGATTTGCTCGATAGTAGGATAGTTTTTAGTATAGAGTTATGCAGAATGTTGGGTTTCATTAAAATCATGAACCAATCATTGTTAGACCACCATCGAAAACATGGAGACACTAGACGGTCGTTTCGTTCTTGTATGGGACCCCTCAGCAGCTTCGAAAGGAAGTTCCAGGAGTTCTTGGAGAATTCTTGACCAGTGGAGTTAAACCGTTTTGGAATTAAGATAGTTATCCACCGAAGACAATAGTTGATGCTTACGCTGTTGGATGATGGCTTAGAGGTTTAGAGCTAATACGTTAACACGCGGTGTCAAAAGGTTTTGGGTTCGATTGCCACGTGCAGGATTGTGAGCGAGTACTTCTGAGGATTCCCATGACATATTAGTTATACAATAAGATTTAAGAACATGAATTAAAATTTAGAGATGAAATTTGTCTATCTCATTGACCTTAAATCTTTATTTTTACTTTAAAGTATGAGCGATTCGGAAAGAATATCTCACATTTCATATATTTAATCCAACAGTTTACTGGTCTAGTCAGGATCGAATACCTTGATTCGTAGTTTTAGATAATGGCTACATTTAATTGTTAAAATTAGACACTTGCTTCAAGGATTCGTTTAATGACCAGATGTTTACTTATTAACCAAAATAAATGCTTCCGACAACCGTTTTATTGGGAGTGCTGGATATCTGTTTTGCTTCAGATTAGGACTTTTCAATAGCACGCAGTTGTCATCTCAACGGAAATCGAAATTGGGACTTTCATATCTTTCAACTACTACCAAGCCTTCAGACTAGTGTTATACATGTCTAACTTCAATTGTTTCGCATTATTTTACGTGAACTGTCCCGTGCTTCCAGGTTTTTAGTGAGGTCGCGCAAAATCCGTGGATCAATCAGAGTCAGACATTAACACTGTTGAATGCCGGCCCAGTGGTCCGATGGTTAGGCGTTCGTGCACAATATCGAAGTTCCCGGGTTCGAATCCTGAGAGGTGCAGGAGTCATGGATGTGCACTGCTGATGAGTCCCATACTAGGACGAAACGGCCATCCAGTGCTTCCAGGTTTCTAATGTTGGTCTAACAATGATTGATTGATGATTTCAAATGTGTAAAAACACAAACCTCCAAACATCTGCCTGAAAATTATTCAAAATGTCAGTTCATTAGCATTAATAATATAAAACACTTTCATATTTTTGTTCAGTGTATTTTTTTCATACTTTACTAGTCAAACTGACTGTGTATTTAATCCAATTGTATGAATTTCTACTTGTTTGTGGGACCTTGGGAACAGTTAGTGTGTTTATTCATCTTATTTCAATGTTCAGAAGGTTTATGCCAAGGAATTTTTTTCGAACCTATATTATTTATTACACTGATTTTCTCATCAACGATCTCATTTATTGGTACTGTAAAAGATTGTAGTTTACTCAAATGGAAAATTGTTACATCAGTTACAGAATTTTAGCAAATTTCAAATATCAGAGACTAATTACATAATTACCCAAATTTTATCGCAACCTGCACTTGACTGAAGTAGACTCAATGTGCTTATTAAGTAAAAAAAACATCTAGAGGTGATCGTAAATATCTTTGAAAGTTAACAGTTTACTAGAAAGTTTTCACTTTTTTTAAAAAAAATTTCATTTCCATTTAGATAACATACAACAAAAAGAACCGTCACAAACAAAACAACTATTGGACGACAATTCCGCTAAATTACACAACAATACTTCAACTATACAACCATCTATTCAAAGAACCTCAGCATCATCAATCAGTACTACTACTACTACTGCTACTACTACTACGACAAGATACTCTTTAATTACTGATAGTTTAGATTTGGCTACACGTTTAACAGCTTTAACTAAATCAACAAAATCACCAAAATCATTTAGTGCTTGTCAATCACTAGCAAAGCATACAATGATTGCTGCATTGAATTGTTCTGGAGCTTTTACACATTTGAAAACAACATCACCAACAACACCATGTCAAAGTCATCAATCATTGCAACAATTTAATGAGAATACTACTGCTACCACTTCTACTACTGCTACTACTACTAATAATAATCATATTCAATCAAAGTATTTGAATAATTATACGGAATTTAAAAATATCAGTAGTCGATCTTCTCCATCAAGTCCTAAAAATTATTCAACAGAGATTTATTCTTCAGATATTAAAGTAAGTGGGAAATCTTCCTATTATTGATTTGGTTAATTTCCCAAGCCCCAAGCTTTCTTTCAACCTACTCCTACACCACAGAACATTGCTCGTCTAGGCAGGCGTTGGTTAGGCATACGTAAAACATGTCCCAACCACCTCAACTGATGAAGTTTCACAACGCATCATATGACTGATTATTTGAGAGTGAAATAGACATTGGATAGATTAAGATTGTTAAATATGTATATTTCTTGTATAAACTTTTCATAAAGCTATTGATAAAGTGACCGAACAAAGCCAATGACAAAAAGAGATGTATGAACGTTCGTAAAACAGTCCACAGCTTTCGATAATAGATATTACAAATAAGTGGAGAGATATGTGCTCACATTGATTTGATTCAGTAAAGAAAAACATTATAAGCCATGTAAAAACTTTGTATACAAATTAAAATTCTTTATGTGATTAGTTTATTCTTTTTTTTTATTGGGCTAATAAGTAATATCATTTTCGTTTTATTCGAGATGGTCAGTGCAGCGTGGTTTTACCAATAACTCACTTTTTCAGCTATTTTATATATAAATGGGAACTATTTTATCATTAACCTCTATGCATATCTTTTACTAGTGAATCACAAATTTTACAAAGAAAAATAATTCTATAATCCTCGTAAGAAACCGTGACCAGTAATGTTAGGCAGTGGAAAGTGATCGTGCAATATCATGAATTGAGTGAAATTAGATAATGTAGACCATTGACTTAATGAGTTAAAGATCACAGGTTGAAACGTGAGCACAAACGTGTTACGCATGTGCGTCAACACGTCATTTCATATGCTTGAACAATTACGAGTTTACCTTAGTCGGAGAACGAGAGAGAGGATCGTGGATCCGGCGACACGACAGGCTACTCTAATCCGATTGTCCCAAACCCCCATTGAGTAAAAGAAGAAGATTTGATATGAAGTAGAACCTGTATTCTACAAGCGTCCAGAAAGCACGAGGTCTGAGTCCAGAAGAGAATCAGGATCCCGTACTAGGATCTGGGCCTGGGTCATAAAACGTTAAAGATAGTTCGTATTTATACAGTTAAGTCGAATGGGAAACGACATTGAAGTCTGTGACACTGACTGTTAGAACGACCGATAGGAAATGACCAATAGAATTAGACTTACAAACAATTATCTTAAGGTACTGGATCCTAACAAGGGTCTTAGATTTAATTATTTATGTGGCTATGAATATGCATTGCTGGGTAGTTCAAGTAGTTGTTGTTCGTCATTTTGTAAATTTTATTGATTTTTGGTGTCATTTTATTATTCAGTCATCTTTGTACACCTCCATATTAAAATCAATTTAATTTTTGAGTGATATTTGTCACAGTTTAATTTGTTTTTTTAAATCATCAGCAATTAGTCGATTGTGGAATACAAACTTCTCGATAAGAATTAAACTATCTAAAAATAGGACACTCAATGTCTTAAATAATTGACCTTTTATTTGGAAGATCATAAGCTTGTCTACTGTAACGGCTCTAGCGTTTCTTCATAGCATTTCAGTGTAAAGTCAGTGAATTAATTCACTGATAATGTATATTTAAGATTACTAACGAAATCTCTGCATTATTATTCTAACTTTTAATAAAAAATCTAATGTCCTAATAGAATACAAAACAATGTATGAATATTCGTGATCCCTCTCGAGAAAATGAAAACAATGAAATAGAGTCATTTAAGAATATCAAAGAAGTTTATTCAAAATTCACTGGTCTTCTCGAAACTTCATCAAATATTAAACATTCAGTTCAAAATCAACAAAAACAAATTGGAGTTATCAATTCGAATAGAACAACAAATGAACCAGTGGGTCAATATTTTGATTTGAGTATTTATCATTATTTTAGTAAATATTAAGTTAGGTTATGTATACTATGCATGTATTTTCTGTGTACAGAATGGCGAAGATTTTTCGAGAAAATGTTTAGTTTTAACAGTATCCTTAATCATTACTGCCATTAAACAGCTGTCTTAACCTAGTGACCGACTTTGGGCATAATCATAGCCCAATCTAGTTGTATTGGCTAGAGCAAACTGTCATGCTAGAAAGATCGATTATACAAAGGTAAGACTAAGGAAAATCAACTTAGGGTCTCATTAACCTACTGCATTGATAGTAATAAGATGTCATTTTCAGACAAAAGGAAGAAAAGAGTTAGGAATGATAAATCCTAAAAATGTCACACTTCACCAGTCGTACAGATTTCCGATTAAGATGTCATCGTAGCAGAAACTTTGCTTCAATTATAATATATTTTAATGAATGAAAGTGTTATATGTGTTTGCACTGGTTATATCATTTCCTATTTTGAATTTGTCGGTATCAATAACATTGCAGATTCGTTTTTGAGAATGTAGTGAGAAGAGAGGAATGGATATTAATACTGTCTTAACTTACCAAAGCATTTTTATATGAAAAATATAAGATAAATTAGATTTAAGATAGAAAATGAGTTGATAACAATGATAAAAGAATAAAATATTGTCAAATTACCTTGAAAATAAAAATGGATTAAATATTCCTTCTGTGACGGATATCACCTACAATGTGGCTTGTAAGTAGCATACAGTGTAGTGTTGCCCAGAAGTTATCGCTAAAGAGAAGAGTGTCAAATATAGATACATAGCGCGATTAAATTGTCTCGGTAACTCAAAGACAAGTGAAAGAAGATAGCCAAGAATCTGTTTGTGTTCTGTATGAAGATTCTATCATTTAGTAACAAACAAGATAGATAAGTTGAAGTACACATCAATGTTAGCTTCTATTTCCCAATCGTCGGGGCTTCCATAAGAAATTCAGATTAATTTTGTCTTACCTACAAACAATTTAAAGACTGTTTTTAATTTGTTCTATGTTAGCTTACATTGACATTAAAGTTCTATTTGACGAAAAGATGTTTGTCAGTTGCAAGTGAACAACAAACCAGTTTTTTGAATATGTACTGGAATGCCGAATGAAAATATTTTTTTATGTTTTAGTATATAGACTATTGAAATTCATTTGAGTAACATATGTATTTATGTGTAAAAAACATTTTTTGCAGCATCAAACTATTCGTAAGGTTAAAGAGAAAGAAATGGACAATTTAGAAAAAACTAGACCATCCTCAGAGACAATCCATTCTTCATCACCAAGAAACATACAACAAATTTCAGATATAATGTTGAAAGAAAGAAAAGATTCACTTCTTCCTCAACATTTAGGAATTGTTGACTGTGCCAGAGGATCTGTTGTGTCATGTGAGTTTCTTCTAACTGTATCAATAAATTGATTATCATAAATGGATTGTACTTGATGGTAGAGTACAAGATTCTAGTTTCGTCTTAAATAAGATTCTTTAACTGGATATATCTGCATCACAGTTTTCATGTTCATAATTGCACTCAAACCTATCATCTTACATTTAAAAAGCATTGGCTTCAGACAGCCACTGTTTTGTGAAATAGTCATGATTTTTCTGAAAATCATAGGCGACATAGGATATTAAGAAACAGATCAAAAGGCGAATACAATCAAAACAGAGGTGCAGTCAACATGTTAAGAGAACAAGCTACGGGTCCAAACGTAGAGAAATTCGAATACTTCATATCTATCTGAAGTTTGTGCTCATGATGTTGTTCAGGAGAACAATGAAAGCTCCACAACTAAAACATCCAACTCAGTGAACGAAACACCAACACAATCATCCACCTCAGTTACACATTTGCTCTACCATGTCAGAATAGAAATTAATTTAAATTTGCCTGAAACGAATAGCTTACTCAAAAAATCAGGTACCCGATAGTTTTCAAAAGTAAATTACGAAGTTCTATCACAGAGTAATGATTAGTTGAGTTCAGTTATGGTTGCTTACAGCTGAGTAATCATAAGACAGGATGAAACAACCCTTTACCATATTGTAGTTTTGAATAATGATCTAACAGACATCAGTCTTTGATGTTGATCATAAATAACAGAATGAATCAACTGACTATCATTGAGTCTGTTGTAATTTATCAATGACAAATTGAAAACTAACTTACCGAAACACATAAAAGTATCTAACACATTTAAATGATATAATAAATCAGGATAATTTAAAACAATTCACTGTTAACTGATAAACTAATATCAAATATTTTTTCAATGGACAATTTTCAATCTTCACATAGCTATAAGTGTATTGATGAGTGACTGGTTATTAGTAGTAGAATTGCTTTATAGTGTTAAAGTAATCCGAATTCTCCCTCTATATCTCGATTGATTTACCTTGAAAATGTGCTTAAAATGATAAGCATCGTTTAGAAATTTTTTAATTTTCATTTAAAACAAAAACAAACTTTGTTTTATAGGGTCCGGAGTTTCAAATGTATCAAAACCTAAACGTCCATCGGTATTTTCATGTCCTGAAGCCGATATTGAATCACCAAGATCAAGTGTTGTAAATCCATCACTCAGTGACATAGCTTCCAGTAAACGAACTCGCCCGGGAGCAGTGGTCACTTCTTCTAGAAGATCAAAACGACGGTAAATGGGGATTATTTTTTTCAATGTTGTTGTCGCAAAGTATTTAAGTTATGCGTTTTAATTTAGCCGTAATTAATTAGTAATCTTTTTCCTGCAAGGATCTCAAACTATTTAGTTATATCATGTTTATTATTAAATGATCGGTCTGATATTCAATTGTGATTTTAGTAAATTCTCTTCAATTCATCTCACGTCATTGACTTTTTTTCAGTCTTTGGATTGGTTGTTTTCACTTCTAGTTTATGAGTTTTGCTGTGTACCGTTATCATAGTTATAGTTATGTGTACATGTAGAAGTATTCTTGTTGGGAAAGTCAGATCCCCAGGACTCGCTTGATAAATATCTATATTTTGGATTTATTTCATGGACCGATCAGTTGACCTTGAGATCACATTTCTCACCAGGAAAATCCTTGGCTGTGATTGGTTACTGTGTCATTTTAGTGTGCGATTTTTGTGACTGTCCCAACTACGCAATTTGAGTGCTTGGATTCATTGTGTGCTGGCGTGATGTTTGTCAAATACATTTTCTACACTATACCAAGACTTCTTACTGATTCGATTTGGTCAAGGGATCACAGTAGACTGTCTGGACGCTGGTTTATTGTTTTGTTCTCGTTATTCGACTTAGGTGAACCCGTAAAAGTTTTAAGCATACCTAGAGACGAGCATAACAATTATATTACCATTTTGACCTTAAGAAAATCAACCTTTTAACCGAACTTCTGATTCCTCTCTCTCTCTCACTCTTTAATCTCGAAACAGACTATTATTGAAATGTTGTATATTGGTTGTTCCGTTCTATCTAGTCCACATAAATCATGTTTATAACTTGTAGTTACCAAATTTTTTCTTAAAATAGAACAAGTTCATTAATGATTATTAGACTTATATACTATCTTTTTAAAAATAGTTGTTGTCATGATTTAAGTTTAAAGTAAAGAGATTTTTGAAAATTGTTCATTAATTCAATATTTGTTCAATGGGTAATTCATGATGAGAACTCTTGTTAAACTCAAAAAAAAACATGTCAAGAAAAGTTACCATCTATTTTAGAAATTCTTCAATTCGAGTTATGGAGATTAGTGTTTTTTGCACATTGAAATCATCAATCAATCATTGTTAGGCCATCATTAGAAATCTGGAAGCACTGGATGGCCGTTTCGTCCTGATATGAAATTCATCAGCAATGTACATCCACGACTCCTGCACCTCACAGGATTCATATTAGTATGCCCATAGTTATATAATTAGCTAGATGCTAAATAGTGAATCACAATGGGGTCTATTTTTCGAATTATCAACATTGGACATTGAAATCAAAGGGGTATATTTTTGAAATTGAATTTGATTACATTTGTTCTGAATTTATTTAGTTCTTGGACTAATTTCATTGTTTAATCAGTTTAAACCTGTCAGTGTAATATAAAAAGTTCGATAAAGAGTATTTTTGAGGATAGATTTACTTCACCAGAAGATCAAGTCGTGTGAAGTCAAAGAATTGAAAACATAGTGTGTGTGTGTGTGTTTGGTGTGGATTGATGTAGCAACCAGTCAATCAAGCATTGTATGAGTTTAGATTATGTGTTTAATTGACCTACCTTTATAGTCGATCGTACAAGTATAAGCTTAAACAGACTTATCATGTATATTCATTGAAGTGTACTTATCAAGATCTAGTTAAGTGAGTTAAAGTTGCTACTATAGTGCATGAGCACAAACAAGACCCAATAAGAATACTTTTTTTGTATAAAAGTTTGTGGTGAACCAAACGATATATTATTTCAAAATATTAACAAAGTTATCGAATACAATAAAATGCATAGCGAAATATATCAGTTAAATGTTATGAACACAAAAATGTATGGACGTTACTTAATGCGGCTGCTTGTAGGTGTTCGGTTGCGTTTGGTACCAAAAATCTACAATTATAGGAGATTAGTAATCTCAGTTATATGTTCCGTCGTAGAAGAGGATATGAATCTGACTGTAGTCTATAAATGTAGATAATATATGCATTAGAATCCAGATAACACATTAATGAGCAATGGAAAAAACGGAATATGTGTATAAAGTGTATTTGTTGGGAGAAGACAGCGTATATCGTGCTATGTGTACAACAGAACGGAAAAAGGTGAGTAGTCAACGCTATTCGTTTCCAAGGTCACACACATACTTAAACAACATGTACAATCATTTTTTAGTAAATGTACAGGCAGTGAAAAATTAACAGAATAAATACAAAATAAGTTTGTCATACCTATCTCCACAAGTTACTTAATCAATACTGAATATTTAACCGCACAAATTGTTAATTTGTTTTTTTTTCCACATCACCTATTTCCGGTTACATATAGATCGAGTAATACAGCAGCTGCTCAAGCATTTGCAGTGGCAACAGCAGGTAGTGCAAATCCTTTAGCTGCAATCGGTATTATGGGTTTAGGACCGAGTCTATTTCGTCCAGGAGGTTATCGTTTCTCTGCTGGTACAGCAACAGCTGCAGCATCACAAACTGGTCTACGATCAGGCATCAATCCTCATTCAAATCCTATTGTTAATCATAGTAATAATCCAAGTTGTAGTAATCCAAATATCATTAGTGCTCAGAATAGTAGTGTTACGTCTACAGTTTTAATGAATCGTTCACAAGTTCATAATACTTCTAGCCATATTCTTCCATTATCTCCTGCTAATTCTACTAATCTTATATCATCAACAATCGTGGGAACAAGTGGAACAACAATGTCAACAACAACGATGACCTCAATGGTACCGACAACACCGACAGCAACTACTACAATTCGTCCCAATTTAAACAAGAATGCAATGAATATCATCACAACACAACCTGCTGGGACAGTAACAAGTAACAATTCAACATCAACTAATAATACAATGAATTTTCATTCATACAATTTAACAAGTCCAACTTTAATACAACAATCATGTATTAATGTTGGATGTAGTTCAGCATATTGTACAAATCAAGTAAAACGTAATACAATGTTAGCAACAGCATCATGTTTACGTGTATTGAATGTTGTAAGACATTGGATAACTAAATTTCCAGATGTGAGTTAATATTATTGATTATTATCATTATTATTATATTATTATTACTGGATAATGTGATCAGCTAGTTAAAGATGCGCAACTGTATCTTTGTGACTGATTTCACCTTCTTGTCATTCAATATCTTTAACTAATATACTTGACAGTGTTGTTTATTTACGAACTATGAAATTAAAATAGACCAATTTAGTGCAAGCTAGTAATTAATTATCTCGATTTGCCATTCTAAGATTTTCCCTAACCTACTTTTATGTTACATAACATTAAACAATGAAAAAAAGTAATGGTTGAAATTGTGCAATATATTTTCTAACGATATAAATTTAAGTTGAAATCGTGATTTAATCATCTCTAGACCACAATTAGAAACCTGGAAGTACTGGACGACAGTTTCGTCCTGGTGTGGTGCGAGCTACTTATAAGTAGTATATGATGTGAGTCTCAACGTAATGTCTGGCAGCAGAAGATGGGGGAAGATCAAGAAAGGAAGAGTTATAACACAATGGAATTTGTATGAAACGCATGAATAGTGATAATGGATTGATGTTTTGCAACAGGAACAGTCCAGTTCGATATGATGAACTGATATTTTGCAAATTAACGATTTACGATATGGTTTTCCGATTTTACTGAGTAACTCTGTAATTTTCGTTAAATACAATCCGGTTGCCCCACCTGTGTTCTCGTTCACTACACTGGTATGGGACTCATCAGCAGTGCGCGATCACGACCAGTGGGGTTTAACCCTGTCAAGTGTAGGCAGTAACTACCGAAGACAAATGGGTGAGGCTGCGCAAAATCATTAGATTGACTAGAGTTAGACATTCACAACGTTAGATGCTGGCTTAGTGATCCAGAGGTTAGGCGTTCACACGCAAGACCGAAGGCCCTGGTTTCGAATCTTGTGAGTATCATACCAGGACGAAACAGCCGTTCAATGCTTACAGGTTTCTAATTGTAGTCTTGTAGTACCTCCACATATATTCCAGTTCGCTTACATCTAACTTGGTTAAGCCCTTTCGATTAATTTATTTAACCAAGCCATTTGCTTAGCCACAACTTGTATATACCATTCGTTCTTATTATTGTCTGGTTTGTCTGAGCTCACATGACTTGTCTCGCTTGATTTTGACCTTGTCAATCATTCGCCTCTTTTATTCATGTGTGCATGCCTATTTCGCTTGTCACATGTCTGTCTTGTTTTTGTCTGACTATATATTCTTAGTCATGCTCTATCTCTGATTTATAAACCGTCAGACGCTAGTTTGTAATGATTGTCTAGACGAACTAATCACGAAGATTAAGAATACGTCGAAATCGGCCACCACAGTCTAATGATGAATTAATCACGATTTCAATGTAAAACAATGATATCCATAATTATCCATAATTATTAAAGTTTGAAAGTGAATGTTACTATTCAATTGTTCAAAACCAGTCAAGGTATAATGGGGCTAAAAAATCTGGGACTTGGTAATTGAAAGTTGAACGCATCAACCATTATGTTTTAATGATAAAGTACATCTGATCAATCATTACTGCTTAGGAGACTTGAATAAAATTACACAGTGGACATCATATCAGTGTAGTTTAATACTGGCCATTAGAATAGAATTTTTCAGTACTAAAATACAACACTTATTTGGAGAATATTAAATACAATATAAATAATAGAAAATGTGATTATTATTTGTTCGTTAATAACAGTAAATCTAACAACTAGACATAATTCTTATCCTTCTTATCAATGTGAAATGCTTATTTTTCTTTCCAAGTAATATCTATCACAAGTATTATGTCATTGATTAGCTGTATCGTTATAGTTTAGGATTCCTCGGAAGTGCTTATGCATGACCACTATACTAGGGATCTAGCCTTTAGTTTTCAATAGCAGTTCTTAACTTTTTAAATATTTGAGTGGATAATAATTTATATCTTCAAATTTATTAGAATAATACATTGAATTGTTAGATCTTTGTTGAAGAAGATATTTAGAATTTTCTAAAATAGTTGGATTCTGAAAACTGATTGATGTAGAGCTAACATGGCGATTTTAATCTAACGTTTGAGTTATACCAAAGAACAAGTTTTGACAAAAACGTATAATACCATGTTGTAGAAATAGCCTATTCACTAAATATTTTAAAACTTCTGATCGTAAAGTGATAGTCATCAATTTTACTGTCCAAAATAACAAAAAAACGATCATCCTTGTATCAGATAAATAAATAAGCCTAAAGAACAGTTCGTAAGCCATACAGGATTGTGTCAAATGAGAGTAAAAGGGATTGAAGTTCATAAATTAAGCTCAGTGTTTCAAAATTAGGTAGACTGTTTAATGTAAAGCTAGAAAGAGTCATTTAAAATGAATAGTGACAGTAGGAAAAAAAATGAGTAAAACCATGAAAATAAGTATTTCGCTGCAACAAGTAAACACCAAACACTTTGACAAACACATCATAAAAATGTTTGAGAACCACGCAAACTACTGAGTATTACTAAGTAGTATCATACAAACAGGAAACTTCTGGATTTCGGGTAAAAAATTTATTGAATCAACGCTCAAGCTACACTGACGTTTACTAATCACTGAAATCGTTTATAATAGTAAATTAGAACAACACAAATATAAGCGAACAATATTGTTTTCGATTAGATCATCATCAGGCTTTACTCTAAGATACATGAATATTTAAATGAAAATGTTTAACCAATCAAGGCAATTTAAGTCAATAATCACACTGAAATGAGATAGATTACGTCACTACACATAAAAGGCAAAAGTACAAGTTGATAGTAGGAAGACAGGTGTACTGATAGTAGTAAGAAAAATAAAATACGATAACAAAAGTTCTTGTCAATAGTAGGTGAAACGCGGATAAATAGACTTAAACATTAAAACCATCAGGTAGTAAGAAGTGTGTAAATAATTAGATAGTGAAGAATATCAACGGAAAGAGGCAGAGAATTACTAACAAATACAGGATGTGAAAATAATGCTAGTAATAACAAAGTAAAATTTAAAAAAATTGTTATACTTTGGTTACGTCATATCCGGCCGCTGAAGAGATAGGGGTGTCACGAATTTCTTCTGAACACATAAATTGGGGTTGAATGTACGAATTATTATAGCCCCTGTTATGTTTAGGAGACAGGATCGAACTCCGTTGGGCAAATAATGGACGGATATACCATAGATCACTCGGGACGATCTAGACTTATCTACGATCTAATCGAAAACAATATTGTTCGCTTATGTGTTCTAATTTTCACAATGAGAATCTTTAATATAACAGTAAAGCGTCTTTACAGTATGTACTTGAAACTTCATTTGTTATTTTTTGATTGCTTTCGAGACTTAAAGTGGATTTTTTTCTCGTTTCATTCACCATGTTTTTACATGTAGGATTTCGAAAGTGATCCAGTTTTGAAACGTGAAATGCAAACTCTATTAGATACATTAGTCACTTGTCCTTATTTAATGCCTAATGATCAAAAAGTAGCTAATCAATTATTGCTTCAAATGATTTCTGATCAACTTGTGCAAGATAGAATTGATCTTGACAGTATTTTAACTCCAAGACAAGTAAGTCGATAATTTTTTATAGTCGAATTTCGACTTTTTGTTTCCTAAATATTTTGACGAATAAAATCTACCTACTAATAAGTAGTATGAGTTTATAATCAAAGAAAACAAAGTATTCTATAATCATATGGAATTAAAAATTGTACTTACTACATTTCTTGGAAAGAAAGATATTTTCCTGATGTCCGTTTAGGTATTTGACTAAATCATGACTTACTTTATACATAAAACAAGCAATTCAACAGACAAGTTTCTTTCCAGCAAGTTTATTATATGTACAGTTACCTCAGCACTTGTACTTATTCTACTAGACTAGTTAATTCAAATAACCATTGACTTAAAAAATTCAAGCACTTATAAACAATGAATTTCTTTTTAACATCTTCCTTATTTTTATTTGAAAATTACTGAAATTACTAAATTTGATGAAATGTTATCAGTAGTGTGTTACTGATTTTTTGTTGAAAATTTGAATTTCTATGGAATATTAGATCCCGTCGGAGAAAAATTTTGATCAATTGTCTGCATTGGATATTTCAGAGCAGTTAACGTTTCTGGATTTTCAAATATTTCGTTCAATACGAAGCGAGTAAGTTCATTTGTGTGTGCATATTTTTTCTATCCCCATATTTATAGATGCTCGCTTGCTTAAAAATGATTTTTGAAATCCACTTTTTAAGTGGTTTCAGTTAAACTATTTCAACTTAACTGACTTGTGAGATCAGTCACCAGTTAGTTAGAATATTTGTTTAGATCTGTTCAATGTGAAAATAGTTTACAATACCAAAAAAAAATTACAGCAGTTCAAAAACTGATAGAAACTTTGAATCATCAAAAAACTGTCTACATTGTGAATTCGACACAGCATAAGAGCACTCAAATGAGTGAACTAACAGAACACTATTGAACAATGGTTTACTATGTTCCAAATTCAGTCAATTTTCTGATATGCCTTATCCGATTTACGGATAAAAACAAAGCAGATTATACACTGACTTTATATTTACATAGTTGATAAGAAAAAAGAATAGTTAATTATTATCAGTCGACGATTCATCTCAGCAATATCAGGGTCCATATATTCACGTCGAGATCAGTCACTTTATATACATGTATATTGTTACGCATGTACGTAAACACGTGCTTGAACTATTACGAGTTTACCTTAGTCCGAAAATGAGAGGATACGGCGACACGACATGCTATTCTAATCCGATTGTTCCAACCCCCATTGAATAAAAGAAAAAGATTTGATATCGTGTAGAACCTGTATTCTACAAACATCCAGAGAGTACGAGCCTCAAGTCCAGAAGACAACCAGGACCCCGGACTAGGGATCCGGATCCTGGTCATAAAATGCGTATTTGTACATTTAGGTCTATTAGGAAACAACATCGAAGTCTGTGACATTGACAGTTAAGGCGACCAATAGGGAAAAGTGACACTGATAGCTAGGACGACCATAATACTGACCAATAGGAGCCGATCAATAGAATTTACACTTACAAAATAATTCTTCGTAGGATTTTTGGTGAATATCCTAACATATTTATAAACAAACATGAGTTGTCAGTATATTTGTTCAGCACTGAGTAATATAGATTCTTACAGTAATTATTGATCAAAATAAATCTAGCAGATATTTTACTTCATTGACTTAATCAATAACATTTCACTAGATTACTATCGAAATCCGCTTGTTATTTATAAGCAATGTAAGATTAGCGATAATTGTTTTCATCATTCCGAGTTACCACATCACTCCATTAGTGCAAAAATTTAAAAATTATTTTAGAAAAGATTGAAAAGCAGGAAATGTATTTCAAGACAAGTTAGTGATTTCATGAAATAAACAGTATTAAAATAGTATTAAAGTTTACAATCTAGAGATTTCTAGATGACTATGATTCATCTCTATCGGTAAGATTGATTCTCAGCCATGTCATCTAATGTTTCCAACCACTGGTTATGTTTCGGTATGCTTTCCTAGTCCATTAGGTTAGGTGTTCGGGCGCAGAATCGAAGGTAATTGGTTCGACTCTTGCGAGTTGCGGGAGACCTAGATGCACAGTGCTTCCAGGTTCCCAATGGTGGTCTAACGTTGATCGATCCATGATTTTACTATGTATTGGTGAAAATCTAGTTTCATCAGTCAAGACAACGTGGGACCACGACATGAGGTACGTTATGTTTAATGTTAGATGGTTGATGGTGGCTAGAAAGAAATCATTGATCAAGATCTCGTGTCCTTCACTACTCGCCAATACGAACCACTAGTGATTGACCAATTACCTGTATCTACTGACTCCGATTTTGTATAAATTTGCTATGAATTTATATGAGTTGAAAAAATGTTTCGAATCTTATGAAATTAATTTTTTATGTTTACAGAGAATTACTCAATCAATCTTGGATGAAATTAGATAAAGAAGAGAAAGCTAAACATGTTCTACTTGTTTGTAAACGATTTAACGAGGTAATTTACTACTGAGATAGTTAATTATTCACTCTTTCTTAGCTCTGTTTTTTATTCATTTAAAAATAAATTACTTCTATTATTAGAAAAGGTTAAGACTTACATGATACTCTCCAATTTTGTCATTCTTTTTCATGAATTAAGGCATGATTGCATTATCTGCACGCTGATTGGCTAACTCTTATCCAATCAACGCTAGTCGATACTTGCAGAACACTCTAGAAGCTTCTCATGTAAAAACTATAAAGAGACTAACGTTGTTCCTATTTCGCCTTCGTTTCGGCTTCTTACGTCCATTTAACCTTGCTATTTGGAATATAATCTCTCCCCTGTTCACGTGTGTTCTGATTTGGAGACTTGTCGAGTGGATTGGGGTCCGAGAATACCAAGCAATAAGAATAGCTGGGTTATACGAAGAGAGAATTATAACCGAAATCACAAAAAAACATTCCACTTGTAGATCATGGACAGGATACCTAACTATATCTATGATTCCACTAGATTACACATACGTATCAATACTCCTCTTCCGACTTCCTCTCAGCCAATCCAAATTAGTCGATCTATCATCCATGTTTGGATGAATATTTTACCTGTTAGAGGCAATGACGCTTAACGCAACTCATCCCACCACATGAGAACTAGGATGCATTTTTGATCATTGAGTAAAATCTCCCACCATAAACTCAACTACGACTTGGCAGAATTGAAATTCACTATGTACGTTACCACAAATACCTTGTGATAGGCTTATTCAGAAGAACTACATAGAGCACTTGTAATTCAGTAACCATGATATCTTATCAGGAATAACATAGTCCATCAGTTAAATAAGAAAATATTCATTTCTATTTCTCAAGTTATAATTAGCGTTTTATTCTCAATCGATAAAACTAACTCAGAAAAGCGAATCATTCAATCATTTACTTCCGGATCGTTTCCTGTATTATTGAACAAATTTCCGAGGAATACTATTCAAAGTGTAATTTGAATCTTTTTTTCGGTTCTTTCAATCTACTTATTCAGGTTAGTCGTCTAGTTGTATCGGAAATTATATCACGAACCGATTTGAATGATCGAGTTATGTGTATTGATAAATGGGTAGCTATTGCTGATATTTGTCGATGTATGCAAAATTACAATGGTGTACTACAAATTTGTTCAGCCTTAGTCAATAGTTCAGTGTATCGTCTCAAAAGAACTTGGGAACGTGTTAGTAAACAAACTAAACAGTCGATTGATCGTTTACAAATTCTTGTTGCATCCGATGGACGATTTAAATCAATGCGTGAAGCTTTACACCGGTAAGTTGGTTTGTCAGGTTTTATGTCTGGTTTTTTTTTCTATTTTAATTAATACAAATTCAAACTATTTTTTGGTGTTTTTTTGCAAAACTTACTACTACAACCTTAAAAAATACTTTCATTCAATGACTAGGAGACAGGACATCATTTTATTGGTTGAGTATATTATTTAGAAATATGATATCAGTAGGAGTTTAAGCAAACTAAACTAATCTATTCTGTTATGCTTATTTGTAGAAGATGATCATTTTTAGACCACCATAAGAAACGTGGAAGTAGTGGATGGCTGTTTCGTTTTGGTTTGAGACGTATCAGCTGTGCGCCTCTACGACTTCTGCCACTTGCGAGATTTGAGTCCTAGGACCTTTGGTCTTGCACGCCAACGCTTAAACTCCAATTTTCTATTGATAGTCTAACAATGTTTGATCTATGACTTTGTGGCATCTCATCATTCATTCATCGTGCCTTTGTTTAAATTATTTGATAATTGTATCGACCATAATTCTGTATTTGTAATAATTCAATTACAGTATCAATTATTGTATATTTGATTGTGTTTGCATGCTTACTAGCGCTTATTACATGTCTAGCCTATTATTATTACTTAACTAAAAATACTGAGTTACTCTTCAGTTCATGGAGAGTTAGTTGGCTCACTCGCCTTCTTCGATTCACTTCATTTTGCTTGTACGCTTCCCTTCTCATGTTTGTCTGCATAAATGAACACGGATGAAATAAATTCATCCGCAACACTGTATTTGACTTCCTACTACCGCCGTCGAACAAACGGGGTTAGCCTAAGTATAAAATACGGAAGTGGAAAGGAAAATTTATTTCATTTCATACTCGATCATTCATTCGTCCACATTGAAGTCCAATAGTGAGCCGCTAAAACTTCAATAATATCTGTAGTTGACTGTCATTTGACTAAAGAAACAAATTGAGACGAAAATATAGTAGAAATCAAATATTATGTTGATTTATACAAGGAGTATTAACTTAATTCAACATTTTGTGTAATTTATACTAAATAATTTAAAATTTCTTCACTACAATTATTTAGTTTATAAAATATTTTAGTATTTCATTGCAAGAATTTATATCCAATTTATTCAGGCTTATTTATTATGGTTAGTGTAAACATCGATCGTGTACCTACTGGATCATTGTTGGACGTTCAAATGAATAGGATTTATCACTATACATCAACTTCCTGGACTATAAGGAAACATTTGACGGCATGGACTGGATGATACTATGGAGGTTTCTTGGGCACTGCGACGTGCCTCAGAAGATAGACAGCATAATGATGGTGGATTAAATTGCAAAATCATGCATGGACGACAGTTCTCACGCTTATTCCAAGTGAAGATCGGTATCAAGCAAGGTTGCTTACTCTCGCCCTTTCTCCTTATCTTGATGGTTCACTGGATTGGAAAAACGTCAACGTCTCACCAGAAGCAAGGAATAGAATGAACAACGAGAATTCAGCTCGACGATCTGGACTTCGCAGATGATCTAACTATTCTATCACACATACAACAAATGTAGCAGAAGAAGGTCAGTGTAGCAGCAACCTCCGCAGTCAAAGTGTAAAATCCTCTGATACAGCACAACATGTACCAACCAAATCACACTTGACAGAAAAGCATTGGAATAATTAAAAACCTCTACCTTCCAGGGCAGCATCACTGATAAACAAGGTAGATATGACACCGATGTGAAGAAATGGATAAGCAAAGCAAGGATAGCATTGCTACAATTGAAGAACATCTGCAACTCAAAACAACGGCAAACAAACACCAAATTTACAATTTTCAACACAAATCTCAAAACAGTTCTATGGAATGGAGCAGAAGCTTGGAGAACTAGTGTGTGTACTAACTTATCGAATCCACAATGAATGCACTCATCCAATCGAATCCGTATTAGGCTTCTTATTACCACTGTCCCACACAAATGGGGTTCACCTAAGTATGATATAAGGGAATTGAAAGGAAGATTTATTTTGAAGTATATTTAATTGTTCATAAATATCGGAGTCAGATCACGAGCCACTAAAAGTTTCCTATGTAGTCGGTTTATTTTCTCTCTCTCTCTCTCTCACTCTAATTCCGAAATCCAGGAAGGATAGAAGAATTAATTGGTAGCTGAATTAGTCTTTAAATTATACCAGTATTCATTATTTTTTTTATGCAGTCATTTGTAGGAAATTATTATTTTCTTAATATTTTATCATTAAGAAGTGTCATAGAGATTGGTGAATTTTAAAGTTTCACATCACAAACCAATTTATCATAAAATCAACCAATAAAAATTAAGATGAATTAAATGACAATCATGTTCTTATTATTATTAATTAACTTTAAATTTACAAATGTAACGCATTAGATTCAAACACACATTGAAAGAAATAAATGTTACTCGATTCAATATCGGATAAGATCAGTGATCTAGATCACTGTGTAGTTTCATACAAAGATGAAGTAGATGTTCAGTGTTTGGTGGATTTCCTAGTGAAAAAAGACTATCAATCAATAATGTGAAACTTCGTATTTCTGATACAAATATACATATAAATATATATGTATTTTTTTTTAATTTTACTGTATTAACTTATATTTAGATGTGATCCACCGTGTATTCCATATCTTGGAATGTATTTAACCGATTTATCATTTATTGAAGAGGGAGCATTGAATATCACAGAAAATAATTTGGTCAATTTTTGTAAAATGCGTATGGTATGTTGAAGAAAAATAAAAACACATTGAAATGATCACATTTTTTTCAAGTTTGTTTATGCATTATTTCATAATCTTTGTGTTTCAGTAAGTAGTTGATCGTATTTAATAATACTGGAAAAGAACCGGAATAATGTTATCATATTTTCAGTTAGAGTTTTTGGAGATTTGTGTTTTTACACATTTGAAATCATCAGTCAATCATTGTTAAACCACCATTAGAAACCTGGAAGCACTGGACGGCCGTTTCGTCCCGGTATGGGACAACTCATCAGCAGTGCGCATCCACGGCTCCTGCACCTCTCAGGATTCGAACCGGGGACCTTCGGTGTTGTGCGCCAGCACCTAACCATCGGACCACTGGGCCGGCCCCCAACGGTGTTAATGTCTAACTTTGATTGATCTAGGGATTTTGCGCGACCTCACCCATTTGTCTTTGGTAGTTACTGCCTACACCCGACAGGGTTGAACTCCATTGGTCACGTCTTCTCACTAGAACTCCAAAAATTTCCTCACGAGGCAGTAGATCTGTGTCAGGATTTTTAATTTTTTCACCCATAACTCTTCGTATGTACGCATTTCAGTTCAAGTTGCCTTGCCACATTAGCACAGAGATGTACTTGTCCATTTAAATCCCATAGTGTTAGATGTAGTGGAAGTAATAGCATTAATGGAGAAGATTAGGGTTCGAGGATATTATCCAGGAAGTGAAGTAGATTTGTGACGAGAAAGATGAAGGTCATGAGGAGCTCAGATTAGAATTTGAAAGATTGGACTAATTGTAAATTATTAACACATGTGGATAGTGGCCGGCAGTAGAAGCCATAATGTGCATTTAGTGCTATTTGGGACTCGTTTATGGTTGTCATCGATAAGTAACTTGTTGTTGTGTGCAACTTTGTTTTGATTGTATCCCCCTTTGATCTGTTTCTTGATCCTGTGTAACCTATGATTTTTCTGATTGGCTGATAAACTGCATCAGTGTTGATGTGTTTGTTGATGTAAAAAAAGTCAGTAATTTCGACCGTCCGAAAGAAGCATTTTCTTATTAAACTACAATTCAACAGGGATGTGGCCTGCGATACTCTGCAGGACAGATTAATGAGAGCAGTTAGTAGAACATTCAGTGCAACCAAACTTGCGTTGACCTTCTCAAGTGGACCAGCGATGTCTACCCAAACGAAGGATAAGTTACCTGAGTTGGCCTCCTCTATGTGCATTTACAAATTCAGCTGCTCTTGTGGAGATAGCTATATTGGTCGTACTACCAGGCAACTTAACCGACGAATGAGTGAACATCTCCCAGCATGGTTTAAGAAGGGTCAGTCAAAAATAATACGCAGTTCCATCTTAGCACACCTGGTTGATAGTGGTCATATTGTAGATAAGTCTAGATCTTTTCGGGTGATCTATCGTATACCTCAATCATGTCCCAACAGAGTTCGATCCCGTCTCCTACACATAGCAGAAGCCATAGAAATTCGTTCATTCAACCCCAATTTATGTGTTCAGAAGAAATTCGTGACACCCCGATCTCTTCCGTGGCCGGATAACTAACGATTTAAGATTTCAAAAAAAATTTTTTCTTTTTTGGTTTAAAATTTTATTTTGTTATAATTAGCATTATTTTCACATCCTGTATTTGTTAGTAATTCTCTGCTTCTTTCCGTTTATATTCTTCACTATCTAAGTATATACACACTTTTTATTACGTAATGGTTTTAATGTTTTGTAATCACTATTTTAAGTCTGTTTATCCACGTTTGACCTACTATTGATAAAACTTTTGTTATCGTATTTTAGTTTTCTTACTACCATCAGTGCATCTGTCTTCCTAGTATTATCAACTTGTACTTTTGCCTATTATGTGTTTCAAAAAATGTATTATGTGTAGTGACATGAATCTATTTCATTTCATTGTGATTATTGACTCAAATTGCCTTGATTGGTTAAACATTTTCATATAAATATTCATGTATATTAGAGTAAAGCCTGATGATGATCCAATCGAAAACGATATTGTTCGCTTATATGTGTTGTTCTAACATATCATATATCAATATACACGGACATCTATGGACATTACATTCGACTGGAACAATGTTCAAATACTGGATAGGGGAGCAGAAAGAACACTAGAACACATTAGAAGCCTGACACTCAGGTCAATCAACAATCAACAAACACATTGACATTGACCCAATTTATCAGCCAATCAGAAAAACCATAAGTGATGTAGTATCAAGAAACAGATCAAAGAGGGATACAATCGAAACAAAAGTGCACACAACGACAGGTTTAAGATCAATGACAACCAATCAAGATCGAGGTCAAGAAAAGAAGCTACGAGTCATACATGGAGAAATTCAAATACTTCACTTCATCTACCTCAAGTGTGCGTTGATGATGTTGTTCAGAAGAGCATGGAATGCTGCACAACTAAATCATCCAACTCAGAGAACGAAACGCCACCACAATCATCCACCTGAGCTACAAATTTTCTCCACCAATCAAAGATTTTTCTAGACATGTGATGATTTCCAACTTTATTGTGTTTAACAAATATATTACTCACTAAATTGTTGTTCAAGTTTCATGAAGTAGTTGTAAAGTAACTACAAGATAGACAGATAGATAGATAGACAGATACTTAGACACCATTACTTAGATAAATTCCTAATGTAAACATTACCATTTATTAGAATGCAATTTATATTCAACTAACAAATCACAAATAAGACAAAAAAAATCCGGTCTTACACTACACTAGTAGATACATATTCATCGTCTATTTTCTAAATGCTTTGATATATTCTAATTAGTTTAATTTCCTTTTAATTACAGATAGCTCACGTGATCAGAGAAGTTCAACAATATCATCAAACACCTTATCTTATAACTCATAGACAAGAAGTAAGTGTTATTCATTCTATATGAAATAATAATCTACATTATTAGAATAGTGGTTATGATGAAGATTGTGAAATTTTTCATGCTTGAGAGCATGAAATTGATAATTGGTATTATGACAAGAATATCGTCGACATATCGTTTGTAAAGTGTAATACCATCGATGAAGTGACTCACTTGCCTTTCTATCATTCCCATGAATATGTTTGCTAAAACAGGTCCGAGAGGGCTTCCCATAGCCACTCCATCGATTTGTGTATATGCTTTATCTTGGAAATAGAATTTTATATTCTTTGTGCACAGCAAAATTAGATCTTGAAGATAGGTAGTCGGAATGGGTATTCTTATGTTGTGTGAAGTTATGAAGTCACAAATAAATTCCATAGTTTCTTCGAGAGGTACAATTGTGAACAAAGAGTTTACATCGAAAGAATACATCCGACTATTAGAAATATTCAAGTGTTCCATGGTTGGGAGAAGTTCAAAGGAATCGATGACAGTATGTGTCGACAGTTGTTTACAAACAGGATCCAAAATTTCTTTCAGCCACTTTGCTAGCTTATGGTATGGTTAATTTATCATGGACAAAATTGGTCTCATAGGTGTTGTAGGCTTGTGTAGTTTCGGTAAACCATACATTTGCGGTGTGCATGTACCAATGGGCTTGAGCATTTTAAAATGGGCCTCGGTGATAAAACCATGAAGTATGGGTAGATGTAGTTCTCGACATATCTGTTTTTCGACCAACTTCGCGTTATCGATCTGTGAATCTGATTTAAATTTAGCAGAGTCTGAGAGGATCACGTTCATTTTCGTTATGTAGTCATCCTTACTCATGACTACTACACCGGAACCTTTGTCTGGTTTGGAGATTATTATTGTGGAATTGCTCTTAAGTTCCTTCAATGCTGCCTCGTGCTCATTCGTTAGACAAGAATTTTGGTTGATTGGAGTGTTTGCAAATTGCTGGGATATATCAAAGAATTTGACTTTGAACCATGCCTCATTCTCAGCTGATGTTGGAGTCAAATTTGAGAACTGGCTGTAGAGGTTTTCGAAATTGGCGTCTACCAAATTCTTGTCGATTCTTTTAGGTGGTACATTGTAGTTTAGTCCCATTGAAAGAGCTTCTAGGTGAACCTTGTCAAGATTGAAGTTAGATAGGTTGTGAACACGTTCTGTGAGATTTTCTGGAAATTCTGAAATCGTTCGGGTCTTTGATAGCGACTGGTTGAGTTTCGGCCATGTTCGGTTCGCCGTTCTCTCCAATATACCTTTGCAGAAGTTTAGTAGTTTAATATGGCAAATGATGGATAGTTAGTTGTTCAATAAGTGGTATGAACTGTGTGTAAGTTTCTTTGTATTGGTTTATTTTGTCAATGCAAGAGTCAATCTGAATTTGTGATAACTTCCTCAGATTCGAACGTGTCATTCGCACTTTATTTCGTCGAAGCATTTTGTTATAAATCCATGGGAAGTGGTTGTCAATAATGCATTTATTTAGAAATTCCAACCCGACCTTTTCGACCATTAATTTACACTTCAAGTTGACACATTTCATACCACTTATTGAACAACTATCCATCATTTGCCATATTAAACGGGACAGTACCTCCGCTTCACTAGTTTCTGCCCCATACAATATAAACGTTCTGTTGTTAAAACTTTATTCGCTCGAGCAAGTAGAATCTGCACTGCTGATACATTGACCGACGAATTCAAGCTTATTACTGAGACACTTAAATTAAACGGATATCCCGAAACGTTTATTGGTCATCAGAACACAACTACGACGAAGTTGATAGCAACTGATGTGCCCAAGAAACCAGTGTACCTACAGTTACCTCTCAAGGGTGATCATAGCATGAAAATTACAACCAAATAGACTGCAGCTGCAATAAAAAAGACCTTCAATGCAGCTAATATGAGGCTTATCACAACAACTCAATCGATCTCAGTTACCCCAATCAAGTCTCCAAGACCAATTCAGTCCAAATCCAACTGTATTTACCAATTCACATGTAACTGCGGAGAAAGTTACTTAGATAGGACAGATCGCCGATTGGAAGACAGGATAGGGGAACATATTCCAAAATGGTTAATCAAATCCATGATTCATCAACCCAGCCCGTCATCTCAAAATCGATTAAGAAACCCAACCCCGTCCATTGCAAAACATCTAATGATGAATGGTCATCGAATTGACCCAAAATCAGCCTTTAGAGTTGTGACATGTCATCGAAACCCACACACACTGAAACTACTCGAAGCTATCTTGATTGGTTGGGAAAGTCCAACTTTATGTGTTCAAAAACAACTGTATGTTGACCTTTGTTTACTATGGTTCTAGTGAGTGAATGTCATGCTAAATAAGAAATTTTGACCTTATCTACAAAACTGTATTTACACAAATAACATGTTGCTTGTATGTGACTGACGAGAAAGCACGAAATGGTACTATCTCACAAAATATGTCTTCTCATTTCTCTGTTCGAATTTATCAATGGGAACCACTGTTTTGAGTTTCCATTTTAAATACAAATTCATGTTATTTAGTTGAAAATGTGATTATCCGAACACTTTAATCATTTTTCCTTTGCATACTTACGATTTTTACCACTAGTAATTTGACATAATATCGATCAGCATAAGTAAATGTAGTCTGTGTGATGAATATAAATATTATTTCGGAATGATTATAACTCACTATATCTTTCGAAAGATGATATTTTCTTTAACTCACAGTGTATAATCGATCACATTATCAGACTATGTCCTTCCCGTAATCAGATTGTAATATTGTAACTTCAGCCTTTGGTTAGTTTGCATTTAGACAGGGGGTACATTGTGTGCTAGGGGTATCTGTGGAGCAGTGTGTGAGATTATCTGGAAGAGGAAAGAATAAGAGAAAAGGGTTAGCCGACGACTCAGTAAGCACATAGAATAATGCACTTACACTTAATAGACGACAGATCAATGGACAGTAATCAGAAATAAAGAATTGAAACTAGAAGTTGTTAGAGTAAAGTTTCAAAGGCATTACAATATCTAAAATCAAGCATACCACCATAGATCATTGATTAATGAAAAGATTTGAAGACCTTTTCATGCCCTCAATATATATACTAATATCATAAACATTATCAGCCAACAAAATTTTTTTTCAGAAATTCTTATAAGAAGCCAACTCATTTATATTCATTCATAAGTGGATTAGTCACCGACTAAGATTATTTACACTACTAGAATCATTTCCAAGGTCACCAATGATTATGTCAATAACTTTTGATGTTTGTAAAAAATAGCTAACTCTCGAACTAAAGCTTCAAGTGTACGACTGATCAACCATATAATAGTCATTAGTTATTATGTTTATTCAGTTCTAAATATTGAGTGAATTTTATTGATCAGGCTGCAATGTCGATACTTATCTGAGTGACTCAGCATTATGTATACAATGTGAATATATCAAATGATTTCATTAACAAGGCTTACTTATATTCTTTAGAAAAATTTTTGCACTTTGATGATATCGAACTTGTATCGTCCAGCTTGAGTGAATCAAACTGACATTTCTCACTATTCATTAATCATTCATTTGTAAAGTTAGTCAGTCAACGCTTGAATAGCTTAGCGGTAATGAATTAGACTGTGAAGCTTGATTATCAACAATGAGCATTTAAGTAACCAAAAAATTTCACGTACATCATGCTGACAACCGCCAATCAACATGAGACTACAGTTCAACTTTTCTTGACAACTACCTCCAAATACATAACAAGGTGACGTGTGAAAGATGACCACAGTCTGAAAAAACAACAATAACAACTGAGCTGTTATATTAGTGTTTATCATTTATTGCACTAAACTCATCATTCTGACAATCAATATTTTTTCTTTGCATTTAGGTTACTGACTATCTCCTCGATCCATCACGTCTGCTTGATGAAGAACAAACCTATCAAGCATCATTGACAATTGAACCAAGACAGTCAATTAATCGACAACCTCTATCAGGATTTACATAATCAATTAGCTTGTTTGAATAATATACATTGCTACATATGGAAACAAACACAATCCATCAATAACTTACTTATCATTGTATAGTTGATGTTGACAAAATGCCTTGTGGTTATTGTTGTTGTTGTGGTTATTTTTTGTTTGTTTAAAAATTTCACTTACACACTCTGATATCACATTCCTTCTGCAATCTATTTTTTTTTGTTTTCTGTCCACTTTTATCAACAATGATCAACGACGCGCCTCTTTTCACAAAAATCTATTAAACAATGCCTAATTCTTCATTGGCCTACTATTTTTCGAGTGAATTTACACACATTAAATGTGAAATATATATATATATATATATATATATATATATATATATATATTCACTATTATCTGTATACTTATTATAAACTAGAGTTATTGAAATCTTACTTTTGTTTTATCTATCCAACTATGCATATTTATGAAATTTTTTAATGATAAATTTTTTTTTCCTTTTAATCTTCCAATACAACAATTGTACATTCCATAGAATATACATCTTTGATTTATATAGATAATTCCATGTGAAAAAATTCACTACTTACTTACTTACTATTATGCACACACAACAATCGTATAAACGCTCGCTATTCAACTTATTATTATATTTTTTTTTGAATTATATTCCGTTTATCATTTGTTTAATTTTTCTTCATTGTTTGTGTAAGTTAGTGCATAGAATTGTGTTTCCTCTTTTGTCAATCTCATTCTGTATGTATCATTTCGTTTTATTTTTTACTTTTCTTTTTGTCAGATTATTATTACTTTTTCTTTGTATAATTTATCCATTGAAAAATAGCGCCATATTTTGTTTTGTTTTGTTGAATCTGCAACTTGTTCAATTCATTCAATATGTGTTTGTCATGCCTCTTTTGCTGTCACTTTGTGTGTATATTGTGTGTGTGTGTACAATGTTCAATATTTTTTAAAAAAAAACATGTTTGATTTTATTTTTGGTGTAATTTTCAATCCCGATGTTTGTCAAATTGTAATGCATTCATTCATTCATTCATTCATTCATTCATTTGTTCGTTTCGTTCGTTCCATTATTTTTTTGTGATATTTAGATATTTTTCAATATTAATTTATTTTGCATAATAATAATAATAATAATCTGATTTCTCACTTTTTTTTTCTAAATATTCAAAGAATATTATTCGGATTCTTTTCTATTTCTTAAAAAAAAATACATGATTATTATTGTTATTTCATGTTTCATTGTCTTATTTAATCAACAAAAAAAAACAAACACTCTAACTTTCATCTTATTTTTATGTTTTCATAGAAAAAAAAATAAACAAGAAAAGTAAATTAAATTAATTTCATATTGTTTAAATTGTTATTTTTCATTCATTCATTTATTCAATCATTATTCACTATTGAATCTAATGCTTGAACATTGAACAAACAGTCAAGAATGTGATAGTTTCGAAAAAAAAACAATCAATCATACAAGTATCGTCTGTAATTTAATTAATTCATAAATAAATAAATTGAATTAATTAATTAATTAAAAAAGCACTTTGAATAATGGCAAGAATGATTTTCTTTTGGGAGGATACATTTTGTATTATATATATGTATTGATCGATTGATTGATTGATTGATTGATTGAAGGAATGAAGAGGATTACTTTGTTCGGGTGTTTGTTCACATTTGTACTAGTGATTGATTGATTGATTGATTGATTGTATCAGAGTTTTTTTCTTGTTCTCCTTCTTTTTTTCTCATTCATCCAATCAGATTATAATGAAGTGTGGAAAAGAAGGAATCACAGTCAGATTTCCATTTTTTGTGTTTAATTTGAATTTTAATGTTTATTAATCATTTGAAAATTGGTTTTTCTTTTTTCTTTTTGATTTATTGATTTCATGAAAAAAAAATGTTGAAAAAAAAATTGATTTCTTTCATTGTGAAGTTGAAAAGTGAATAATAATTATGATAATAATAATAATAATAATAATAATAATGAATTGTCAATTAAAAATAGAAACTGTCTTTCTTTAAAATGACTAGAATTTCTATCTTATCAGTAACATTCAGCTCTGATTGACTAAAATCCATTCGAGATCAGATTCGATAAGGAAGATTTATTAAATAACATGATTGATAAACAGTAGTACAGTCTATAACACATAGATATGTTAGAAAATATGTTTACAATTAAAGAGTTGAAAAAAGATTTTTGAGTTATTTTGAAATCATAAAATTAGGCAGTGTTAGACAAAAATCGAAATTCAAAAATAAATGGACTGTATAAGAGATCCAGTATGAAACTTAAGAGTAGGACACAAAAACCGTAGCGGTTATAATGGTAATAAATTTCGCATTCAAGAACTAACTATAATTCATATTATTAGGCAACCCTGACGAAGTTCGTAAGTTAGACTATAGTTTATTTGGCATATCTATTTCTAATAAAATAGTTACAAATATTCGGAATCAGAAGAAAAATCAAAATTGTATGAGATTATGTGCTTTCCGGGAGTTAAATTTTGAACGCCATTATTGCAGATCTTGAGATGTACACCATATATTTTTTAGTAGACCAGTAGGTTGTTTGTGCGGGATTCAATATGTATATGCCCTGGGCTTACCGCAACAATGTAATGCTGTGAAATCACCATGGTGTGACTACTTTGAGGTCATGAGCTGCAGGCAGGAGAATATTGAAGTTGAGCTATATAAAATTAAATATTCTTGAATATGTAAGATATAGGTCCGCCGGTCTTGGTATTCCACTTAATTCGAATTAGAGACTGATAGTCAAAATATAATGATGTCATATAACCATGATGTGATTACTGCTGATTTTTTTGATATAAAACCGCAGTGATATAATCGTTTAGGCTGAGCAAAGCCAACGCGAGAGTCCGTATTGTCGACTGAGTTGTCATGGCTGCCTTCCAAGCAGTCGATCCGGGTTCGACTCCCGGCGGTCGCAGACGCTTTTACTGCAGTCCACAAATGGGCAGTAGACAACCGGTTACAACTTAACCAGTCGAAATGTCACGTCATGGACATTCTCTCCCACATGACGCAAACAACTCACAAACTCAGTGGAAGTCTGCTCGCTCATGTCTCCTCAGAGCGCGATCTCGGTCTGATAACCACAGAAAGCCTAAACACCAGTTCAAACTACACAGAGGATGCAGTCGAGGCTAACACAACTCTCCACTTTATGCGAAGACAACACGGTGCAATCACTGCACAATTGTTTTTAACTCTCTTCAAAACGTACACACCGCCACACCTTGTAGTTGACAATGTCGTCGCACCTCCTCTCCTTAAACAGATATAAATCTCCTGGATTGAGTGCAGAGACGAGCGACTGAATGGGTGACAGTGTTAAAGAACAAACCTTACGAAGACAGGCTCCAACACTTGGGACTACGCTCTCTGATTTTGCGGGGGCGGGGTAGGTCGGAGGGGGGAATAAAACGTGATCTGCTAGCGAAACACAACATATTAAGTACGCCGAATCATCCGAACATGCACACTTTTTCTCATTAAGAATTATCGCAACTCGGAATGCTCTCTCAGCCGAAGTGACCACAGCCGCCTCCTCAGTGGATAGCTTCAACATGAGGCTTGACAAACACGTACTCACATACCAATTGTCTCCTCCCGTTTCGACCAGCTGTGCCTGATGCATGTCTCGGAACTTGCTACTTCTTGTTATTGTCGTTTGCTCAGATCACTAACTTATTCTATCTCGCTTAATTTCTCTGTTTCCTCCTGCTTGCTTGCTTACACTTCTTTCCTCTCGCACAATCTTCACTACCAATTCTTCATATAGAAACTGATTAATTAATTAATTAATTAATAATTAATCAATTAACTATTTATTTATTTATTTGTTGATTAATTTTTCGTTCATTCACTCACTCACTCACACACTCACTCGTTCATTGATTCATTGATTGATTCATACGGTGATTCTATCATTGATTGATTTATTCATCTACGTGGTTGTGAAATCTCCTTGTCATTATTAGCATTAGAAGTTTCTGCTGATTATTCTGCACATTGCAAGTAACTGATCTCCTCCGACTTGGTAATGTGATCGCTGGTGGTATTCAGAGAGCCTCCTGCTCTGAGACAAACGCACTCAGTGAAATCACGGGATATACAAATTGCTAAACAACTGCCAACTGACTGGAATTAGTGCGGTCGAGTGACTAGACTGCCGTTCATTGGACATTCATGATCAAATACCTGGAACCGTACCGAAAGAACAACAATCGAGCGCGAAGAAATCAATTAGTTTATACTAGCTGGTGTAGAGAAACTGATTGGATATTGGTAATCGGACAGTCGCGACCGTGGTGTAGCGGTTATCATGGCTGCCTTCCAAGCAGTCGATCCGGGTTCGACTCCCGGCGGTCGCAGACGCTTTTACTGCAGTCCACAAATGGGCAGTAGACAACCGGTTACAACTTAACCAGTCGAAATGTCACGTCATGGACATTCTCTCCCACATGACGCAAACAACTCACAAACTCAGTGGAAGTCTGCTCGCTCATGTCTCCTCAGAGCGCGATCTCGGTCTGATAACCACAGAAAGCCTAAACACCAGTTCAAACTACACAGAGGATGCAGTCGAGGCTAACACAACTCTCCACTTTATGCGAAGACAACACGGTGCAATCACTCCACAATTGTTTTTAACTCTCTTCAAAACGTACACACCGCCACACCTTGTAGTTGACAATGTCGTCGCACCTCCTCTCCTTAAACAGATATAAATCTCCTGGATTGAGTGCAGAGACGAGCGACTGAATGGGTGACAGTGTTAAAGAACAAACCTTACGAAGACAGGCTCCAACACTTGGGACTACGCTGTCTGATTTTGCGGGGGCGGGGTAGGTCGGAGGGGGGAATAAAACGTGATCTGCTAGCGAAACACAACATATTAAGTACGCCGAATCATCCGAACATGAGCATCTTGCCGAAACATCACCACCACACAGCT